GCCGTCGCACAACGTTCGACATCGGGTCGCGCACAATGACGAAACCCAGGAAGCGGGAGCCCCGTTTGAAGGGGCCGCCCTGCGCTGGCGTGGTCCTCTAAAACGTTTTCGGGGGAGCGTGCCCGGCGACAAGGCGCGATCGTCCGTCTTGAAGAGGTGCCGCCTTCCATCCGCGCAAGGGCAAAGCTATCATGAGACGATTGGCGCGGCGCCACGGTGACAATCCCGCGTTTCCTTGTTAATTCTTACTATTACAAAAAATGGCCCGTTTGTGTGAGCGTTGGATTCACGAGCGCGCGCAGCGCTAAGGCGATAGCCCCATGTTGAACATGGACCGCCCTCCATATGTGTAAATGCTAGATGCGTTTAAGCCGAATGTGCGCGGCGCCAAGGCAAGAGGCCCGTCTTGAAAAGAAACCGCCTTCGGGCCGAGCAACCGTCGGAACTTGTTTAGACGAGCGTGCGGGGGGTCGCGGCGAGAACCCCATTTTGAAAAACAGAAAAACAGGTTTCCATACGCGCGACTACTGGCAATTTCCAGTTTCAGGAGTACAAGCGGTGAGGAGGCCCCAAGCGAAACGCACGGCCAGCCGAAATTTGAAGCGGGTACGTCCCTCTACACGAAGAATATTTAGAACATCCAAAAATAATATGGGGGCGAATATTAACATGTTTTGATTATGATTGTATATTTATGTTGTATGTTCAATTGTTCGTCCAAGACCCACCCGTGGGGGGCATGCCCGACCAAAGCCTACAATGCACGTGTGGCGGTGCGGCAAGGAGGGTTACCTGAAAGAGCAAAGGATGAAGGAGGAGGCGAAAAGGAGTACGATAAGGAAGTTTATGAAGGAGGTTCGATGTTTCTCGGGGTCGGGGGCAGGAGGAACAGGAAGAGGAGGAGGAACAGAACGAAGAACAGAGGAGGACGGGGGAATGAAGAAGGGGAAAAAGGGGCAGGCGGATGAACGAAGACGGAGCGATGGGGGAGGACTGGTGCGGTGGCTGCGTCCACGAGTGCAGGAACGAATTCGCCACCTGCACGCTGAAGGAATGTGGGCCTGCGTAGGTGTGCCCGCAAGCCAGACCGACGGAGGAGGACGGATTATGAAGCCAGGAGGAACAAGGAAGAAGGGAGGAACGAGCGGGGAGGAGGCAGGGGAAAGTCAGGAGACGACGGCGGCGGCGGCGATGACGAGGACAAGAATGCTTTGCCCTGGAGGCCCGAACGTGGCAAAGGGCGCCCCTGAGGACACCCGAAGCCATCCAACACACATCTCCCCCGGCCCCGCGGGCCGAGGGACAAAAATCATACACCAGTTGGCTCAAGCCATCGTGGCTCAAGGCGTCTTGGCCTGGGCCTGCGCGCCCGTGCGTCCGCGCACGCGCTGGGGCAGAGGCTGCGGCTAGGTGGCGGCGGCGGGCCTGGCTTCGGCAGGCATGCGGTCGGAAGCGGCGAGTAGACGGCTCCGCCGATTGCGCACGCACGATGCCCATTCTGCGTCGCGCGTGCCGCCTGGTGCCCACAGCCCGGAGGTAGTTGGCATAGCGGAGCTCACGGACATCGAGGGTGGGTACGATGTTGCTTGGTTTTCCCTTGCGACTCTTAGCCTTACGGATGCCGCCTGCGAGCAGCACAACGGGTGCGAGCAGCACGAGAGCGATTCGGAAGAGTGCGAGCTGGACTGCGAGCAGCACGAGACGGGCACTGAAGAGCACGAGCAATGTTGCGGTCAGACGGTGAAGACGCTGAAGGGCCACGAGGAATTCGAGCAGCCCTGCGGTCAGACCACGAGGACTCCGACGGGCACGCTCGGGGGCGACGTCGAGAACGAGCAGGCGTGCGGGCCGACGCCGCCGACGCTGGAGAGCACGCTGGAGAGCAGCGACGAACGCCAACGTCAGAGTCTGTGTGGACAGCCGCTGAAGACGCCGAAGGGCGGATCCCGGGGGCGACGTCGAGCACGAACAGAACCCTGGGCAGACGCTGAGGGGGGGCACAGTCACGGGCGGCGTCGCTAGTGCGCGCAGCCTACAAAAAGGCCTAAGGCCACGAGCCGACTGCGCTGCGAAGGGCGCACCTGGCTGCAGAGGCGGAGGGTTCGGTGCACGACGGCGCGCAGAGGATCGGTCAGTCCGGCAGCTTCCGTGGGCGCGCGATGGCGGCGCTACGCTTTGGGAGCCCGGCGGAGGTCGTCGAGGGCGGGCCGTACCTCGTCCTCCTCAGCTTCGCCACGGAGGGCGTCAAGGAATTTGGCGTCGACGGCGCGCTGTCGGCCTTGCGGGCGTCGGCTACGCTCGCGCAGGAGTTGGGCGGGGCATGTGTCCAGATGGGTCGGCGGCGGGAGGCCAGAAGCTCCGTCGGGGACTGCGTCCGTTTCTCGAGGATCGCTTCCTCGGTCGGCGACAAGACGCACGCGCTCTTCCCCCCAGAGGCGGAGCAGCCCGCCCAGAAGGCGCGGTTCCTAGTGAGTTGGCCGCTTGGAGGGCGCACGGCTGCGTCCGGCGCCGAGCAAGAGCGAGCCGCGTTCCTTCTTCCCCCTCCCCCTTCCCCTCTCCTCCTCCTCCTCTCCCTCCCCCCCCTTTCGGACCTGAAGTGCCCCTTGGTCCGGGGCGGGGCGGGGGGGTCCGTCGGGAGGGAGCGGCGCGCTGCTCTCGGCGGCCGGCCGTGGGAGCCCCGCAGCGCCAGTGGCGCCCGGGTCCGTTCTGCCACAGGCCGCGTGCGGCTGCGAGCTGCGCGCGGCGCCGGGGGAGCGTCGCCTTGGAGCGGCACCCTCCGCTGTCTCGGTCTGTTTCTCATCTAGCCAGTTCCGAAAACAACAACAGCAGCAGCAACAACAACAACAACAAGAACAACAAGAACAACAAGAACAGCAAGAACAACAACAACAACAACAACAACAACAACAACAACAACAACAACCACAACCACAACAACAACAACAACAACAACAACAACAACAACAACAACTACAACAACCACAACCACAACAACAACAGCAGCAGCAGCAGCAGCAGCTGCAGCAGCAGTAACAACAGCAGCAGCAACAACAAACACAACAACAACAACAACAACAACAACAGCAACAACAACAACAACAGCAACAACAACAACAGCAGCAGCAACAACAACAGCAGCAGCAACAACAACAACAGCAACAACAACAACAACAACAAAACGGCATAAGTGTAAACTTTTGGCGCTCGGCGCGGATTTCTTGGATCTGCGCTTGGCCCCCCTGGCGGCGCCTCAGGCGCCGCCCCTGGCCCGCTCCGTGCGCCGCGAGGAGCGCCAACATTTTATGTATGTGGCGTCTTTTTCTTCTTCTGTAGTTGTTAGTGTTATGGATTGCGCTTCATGCGCATCGCGTGCATTCGGTCAGCCTCTTCCTCGCTCAGGTTCGTGGTCGTTCACGACCCAGTCTGGGATATAGGCTTCCATTGCAAACCACCGCTTTGAATGCCAGGCGCCGTTTCGGTTCCTGGTTGTTTCCCTGCTAGGCAGATTGCTTCTTCATCGTCTTAATAAATGTGTTTTCGCTCGGGCTTGTGTACCCCGTCCCAAGGGAAGGCGCTTTGCTGGATACTGGGGGTTCTGCACAGCGGGATCGATAGCGTTATGGCGTGCGCTCGTAAAGCGAGTTTGATGCATACCCAAATTCGACTCCTGCCTTTCGTATGAGGAAGCAGTCCCCCTTGGCACTGGCACGCTGTATGGCTCAGATCGTGTCGGGTCCCAGATCCCCGCAGCGCGCACCGTGACGACTGGACCGGCAATCTGCTTGTTGCGCCCTCTCCTTCTTCCCCCTCTCCCTTCTCTCCTCCCCGAGAAGTCGCATCCCACTGACCATCAGAGCGCCGCGCCATCGCCGCCAGGAGGAGGAGGAGGAGGAGGAGGAGGAGGAGGAGGAAGAGGAGGAGGAGGAGGAGGAGGAGGAGGAGGCCGTGCTCGCCGCCGCCGCCGCCTTCCCCGCGAGCGCCCTCCCGAGGAGCAGGGCCCGCGCCTCCGCCCCGGCTGCGAGGGCGACCCCGGCTCCGACGACCCGGCGGAGGCCCCCGCGGCAGGGCGCAGGCCGCCGCCGCAGCTGCGCCCGCCGTCGGCCGCGGCGGCGGCCGCCGCCGCCCGTCCTCGCCGCCGCGCGTCCTCGCCGCCGTGCCGCTCCTGCTTCTCCTCGGGGGGGGGGGGGCCTCCAGTGGAGGGGGCCGGAAGAGGAGGAGGAGGAGAGGGCGGGTTTATGGAGGAGGAGCCGGAGAAGGAGGAGGAGGGGGAGGAGGAGGACAGAAGGAGGAGGACGCAAAGAGGAGGACGCAAGGAGGAGGAGGAGAAGGAGGACATGAGAAGGAGGAGGAAGGGGAGGAGGGAAGAGAAAGGAGAAGGGTATGAGGATCGTCGTCGTCTTCCTCCTGCGGATGCCTCGGGACGAGGCGAGGCCCGTCGTCTGAGGGGGACCAGAGTAAACCCAAAATGCATCTGCGATTCTGCATCGCACCCTCCTGTCCCAAGTCCTGCTCCTCACATGGCCCCACAAGCTTGCCTCTTCACTGCAGGAGACCCCCCCTGAAAGACCAGCACTATGGGCCTCCCATTCAGGCGACAGCCCCGGCTTGGAAAGGAACTGCCTGGCATCCCTCCAGCGCATGGACCAGGAACGCGAGGAGGTATGGTCGCGCAGCTCCGCGACGTGTCCAGCGAGCTCCCCGTTCCGAAAGCAAAGCAGACCGCCCCCAATCCGCGTACCCGTTGCAGTCGACCCGCACAGGTACCATGAGCAGATTTATGTCCTGGGTTATCCCTGCATCCTTCCGCCTCGGCCCATCCTTGGCCGCGCTCGCTGGCCGCGCCCCGCTCGCAAAGTGTCCGCATGGCCTTCCAAGGCGCTTGCGTCCCTCTCGTGCGTCCTTCCTATACGGGTTGCCTTACACAAGTTGACACTTCTGGCCATTTCGACCGAGAGCCCCATGTTGAAAAGGAAGGGCCCTCAACCCGCGCAGGTGCGACAACGGAGGCTGGGGGGGGAGGTCGAAGTGGAACGGAGCCCCCCGCTTGGAAATCGGTTTCGGTTTCGTGCTCGTGTCGTGCGTGCGGGAAAAGCGAAGCTGCGTGGGCGGGCGAGGGGAATGAACCCGCCGCTGCTGGGGCGAAAGTTTGTCCAACGACTCTACCCCCGGGGTTGGCCAGCGGTGGCCTGGGGGTGTCCCGCTGGTGTCCTGCGGGTGTCCCGTGGTGTCCCGTAGGTGTCCCGTGGTGGCTCTCGGGTGTCCCGCGGGTGTCCCGTGGGCGTCCCGTGGTGGCTCGCGGGTGTCCCGCGGGTTTCCCGTGGGTGTCCCGTGGTGTTGTATGTTATGTTATCTTAATGGTGTGCGGTGCTATGTTACGGCATGCAATGTTATGCGATGTTATGCTATATTATGCTATGCTATGGTGTCGGTGCGGAGGTGTCCCGTGGTGTCCCGAGGTGTCTCATGGTGTCCCGTGGCGCGGGGGTATTCCGTGCTATGCTATGTTGCGACATCGAGATTGAAAGCAATCGTGATCTCGATAGTGAGGTCGATCGTTAGGTCGATAGTCATATCGATAGCGAGGTCGCATGTGAAAACGATGGTGAGACCGATCGGTAGTGATATCAATACATATATAGAGGGCTATCGATAGTTCGATCGATCGTGGGGTCGATAGCGAGATCGTTCGTGAGATCGGTCGTGATATCGATAGGTGGAAAACGCAAAAATGGCATCGGTCAATGGATCGACAGTGAGATCGATGGTGAGATCGAAAGATCGAGGGAGACCGAGCGTTAGCGAGATCGGTAAATATTGAGGTCGATCGTGGTTTTCCTGTGGTGTCTCGTGGTGCCCTGTCGTCTTGAATGTTCTTATGAGTTATTCTGAACAGGAAAGGGAGCGCGCGGGCAAATACATGCAACCGAATATTCGTGGTTGCCCCGATGATTCCCGTTGGATGTCCCGACTGGTTCCCGTGGTATCACGTGGTGCCCCGTGAGAGCGATAGTGAAATCGACAGGAAGGTCTATTGTGAGACCGATGGTGAGATCGATAGATGGTAAGGTCGATTGATTCAAGGAGATCGATAGTGGGATCGATAGTGGGATCGATAGTGCGATAAATAATGTCTTCGATTGTGATACATATATATATGTATGTATATATGTATCTATATCACTATATATACAGATCTTGCGAGCGAGATCGATAGTGAGATCGGTAGATGAATCGACAGTGAGATCGACGGTGAGATCGATTGGATATCAATCCACGGTGAGATCGATAGGGTGTGAGATCGATAGAACCACAGAGAGATTGATAACGAGGTCGATAATGGGATCGATCGGAAATTCGATGGTGATATCGAGAAGTAGATAGTGGGGCCGACTGAGATGGGTGGCGAGACCGATTGATAGTGCAACTGGTAAACAGTGGCTCACGATGGTGTCATTTATTTGCCCCCGCATTGTCTTCAGGTGATCCGTCTTGAGGTCATCATGCGTGGTCGGTGGCCAATTCGAAGCGCATCACCAGCATCGCCACTGTCACAACCAGCGCATGTGTCATCAGTTGGTGCCCCGGTGCTGCTCCGATGCGTTTTGGCTCTCCACACGCTCGGGCGGGCTCGCGGTCACCGCGGCAGTTGAACCGTACTTTTTGGAGCACCACGCCAAAGACATCTAGTGGCACACCGTGCTGAACAACAATGCATCCATGAGCTCACATTGTCAAGGCGGGAAGATAGCGGAGGCCCTAACGGCGTGCAAGGCCTTGTCGGCACCAGGTTCTGCCAGTGCCAACGGGCAGTGCATTGTGGACTTGCCACACAGCTTCGCCCGCGGAGATGGCCGCCCCCCAGTTGTGCGCGGTGAGGGCACAACGACAACGAAACAAGAAGCGTTTGAGCTCGCGTGCCTCCACGCGGTCGCCGCTCTCGTCCGCGCGCCCCGTCAGAGTTCCTGTTTAGCCCAGCGCAATGGGCAGTCGCTTCGGACCAGCCGCTGGCAGCCCTGCCCGGCGCCGACGCGGGGCGCGAGGCTCTGCGAGTGCACATCCCGGCGCGCTTGTGGGACGCAGGCGCGGAGGCTGCGACGCCTGACGCTGGCACGCGCGCGGTCCTCCGAGTGTGCGACATTCTGCGCGTCCCAGGCCGTTTTCACTAAAGGGAGGTTTTTTTAAAGGGCGGTTTGTCCACCGCCGAGAGACCCGAAAGGAGCGACCATCACACACGCGAAAAGTGAGGTCTCGCGCGGAGGTCGCGCTGGAAGCACTGGGCTCTGCCGGTGCGTCGGGCGCCGCCGCCGGCTCAGGAGTCACTGCCACCCCTTCTGCAGGGGAGCGGCGCTGGGTGGACAGGGGGCGCGGGGGGCGGCGGAGTAGGCAGCGCGCGCGGGGACGGGGCTGGGCGACAAGGACTGGGGGCAGCTGCGCGGCCAGCTGCTGGCGGAGCCTTTTCAAGCTGAACCGCCGATGGCTGGGCATCTTTCGAAAACGCCCCCTGCTCTGCCAGTGCCAACCTTTCAATCAATGCAGCGCTCCACTGAGCACGCAGACCTCCGCATTCATGCGAACGCGGGGCGCGTGAGAGCGTCGCCGTGGAGTGCACAAATGAGACCGACCAGCATGTGCGACTCGGCGAGCGCCAGGCTCTGCCCGCGCTGACAGAGCCTGCCACTGCGAGCGCTAGCGGATACGGAGGGTGATTTTTAGACGCATGGGTGCGCGTTCCTTCGCGTGTTGATGTGCGGCGGCACCAGAAACACAAGAGTTGCTTGCTGGGCTTCTCAAGCTGCACACGGGGGAGGTCGTATTCACCATCGCCATAATCGTTATCCTCGCTGGAGGGTTTCTCCGAAGGGCTTAGGCGACCCTTCCTCCTCCTCCTCCTCCTCCTCTTCCTCCTCCTCCTCCTCCTCCTCCTCCTCCTCCTCCTCCTCCCCATCCTCCTCCTCCTCCTCCTCCTCCTCCTCCTCCTCCTCCTCCTCCTCCTCCTCCTCCTCCTCCTCTCCTCCTCCTCCTCCTCCTTCTCCTCCCTCCTCCTCCTCCTCCTCCTCCTCCTCCTCCTCCTCCTCCTCCTCCTCCTCCTCTCCTTCTTCCTTCTTCTTCTTCCTCCTCCTCCTCCTCCTCCTCCTCCTCCTCCTCCTCCTCCTCCCCCTCCTCCTCCTCCTCCTCCTCCTCCTCCTCCTCCTCCTCCTCCTCCTCCTCCTCCTCGGGTCGCCTACGGCCCCAGGGGAAACCGTGCAATCCTTACCACCATCACCATCGCACAGCAGTTTGGCTCAAGCTCGCCCGCCGTGGTGCGAGAGTGCCTTCGACCATCGGGCGCGCCCTTCAAGGGTCGCGGGCAAATGAATGCCACCTCATTCAGCGGAGGTGGCATCCATTTGGCCAGGATGGCGGCGGTGACGCAATCACCGGAGTGAATGCGCCATTGCGGGTGCGTCGCGCCGTTGGCGTTTTTTTTGTTGCCGCCGGTTGGCCAGGCTTTGCCAGGCGAGGTTGCGTGATGAGCTGCCACTGCTGCACGCTGCACGTTTGCGATGCCCCGCTCATCACTAGCGTCGCCGCCATGCATCGCCACCATCAAAATCGCCAACACGCATTGTCACCGGCATCGTCATCACGCATCGTCGCCAACTCGTGAGCGCATCCCCAGCACCGTCACTGTCACAATTATCGCAGTCGTCATCAGTTGTTCCCCCCACAACCCCTTATCACCGGAAGGGTAATCTACAGGTCGATAGATTTATATGACCACCCTGTGGGTGATAAGGAGGTTGTGTGGGGTGGAATTGAACCTTCGGTGTGCGATTGGGGTCGGATCGAACTCGGCGGAAACAGGCCAGGCACCACGGAGCACCTGCTTGGCCATCCATCTACCGATCTGATGTTATTTGTTGTGTTTCTCTCTCTCCGTCTCTTTCTCTCTCTCTCTCTCTTTCTACCTATCGACGGCATGCTTGGTCACCCTCTATCTATCGACTTCACGATCAATCGATCTCACAGTCGACCTTTCTATCGATTCCACGGTCGAATTGTCGATCGGTTTCACAATCGACCTCACGGGACACCGCGCCACGGGATATTGGCGGGACACCCCCGAGCCACCGCCGGCCAATTGGGGGGCGTAGAGTCATTCGGTTCAGTTTCGCCATAACAACGGCGGGTGCATTCCATTTGCCCGCCCATGCATTTGTGGCTTCGCACGACACGAACACGAAACCGAAACCGATTTCCCGACGGAAGGCATCCGTTTCATGTCGAATTAATCCCCCAATTTCGGATACGTATATATAGAGAGATGTACAAATGTGTGTGCGTTGAAGTTGTTGGTCTTTGGACGGAAAGTAATCTTAAGCGCAAGCCCCACGGTGAAAAGATCTCCATATTTCTTCATGGTTGCTGAAGGTTGTTAAAGCGGATGCGCGCGATGTTGAGGCGAGGGCGCCATTTTGAAAAGGAGCCTGCCTCCATCTTCGTAGTGTGTGCAAGCCTTTCCAAGACGAAGGCGCGCAGCGCTGAGGCGAGATGCTTATTTTGATAAAAGCTGCCGCCGTCCGTCCTCGTAAGTGCTGCAATCCTTGACGACGAATGCGCCAGGCGCCAAGGCGAGAGAAGACCCTGACTTGGGAAACGTGTTGTGCTGCATCCGCGTGACTGCTGCATCTGTTTAAACGAATGCCCGCAGAGCCAAGGTGGGAGCTCCAGTTTGAAAACGGCCCCGTCTACATCCGTGTAGCTGAGGCGATCTCCAAGCGTCCATATCAGAACTGGTGGGGAAGTCTCAGTCGAAACGTCCAGCCCGCCCCACCAACGCGTCAGGGGGGCTCAACAAGGTGGAATCATCTTCAAGGAAAAGTGATCGAGGAGAAGGAGCATGGTGGTCTTCTGGAGGGGGATGAGGAGGATGAGGTTGGCGAGGGGCGGGGGATCTGGAGGCGGCAGAGAAGAATTGGCGTGGAGCATGGAGGGGAAGCAACATGATGAGGACGGGCTTCCCAAGCCAACGCCGAGAAGGTCTGCCCGTCGCGGCGGACGTGTGGATACCCAGAGAGCTTGCCTTTCGGCCGCGCGTCTCTGGGAGGACCAGGAGAATACATGACCGAGGCTTAAGGAGCACGCCTCGTGGGTGCGCTCCAAGCAGCGCGTTTCTGAGCACCTGGGCTGGCAACAGCAACGCGCAGCTAAGCGGTTCGACGGCACGAAGCAGCAGGCAGCAGCACGACGTGGCTATCCACTGGTGGAACGAGTTGCGCACCGAATAGTGTTGCGTTTAATCGCGGAACAGGCACCTGCGACGCGACTTCGAGCGGCACGTCCAAGGGTAACATCACGTCGTTGGTATCAAGTATCAACTAGTGAGACGCGCAATGCGTCGTGCACAATTCCGTCGGGTTGCACGCCGGGACCATAGCATGTGGGCCTGAGCTGGGCTGATCGATCGCCTTGCCGTAGTCTCCTCTGCTTTTTCGTCATTTCCTCCTCCTCATCACCATCTTCGCATTGGGCTGGCGTTCACTGATTTGTAGATTATCCACTTGATATTTCGCGCAGTTCAGGCTGCCATCAGGATGTAGATGAGATCGGCACCTGCTGCGCCTCGTGGTACTTGCGCTCCTTTTCTTCATCATCATCCGCATCCCTTTCCGCTTCAATTTCTGCTCGGATTTCAGCCGCGTCCGCATTCGGCGTTTCTCGTTTCTTTTTATGCGTTACCATGTCGAGACAAGCGGTTGGCGTTTGTTCTGGCCCCCTCCCTGGCGCGCGGAGCTCGCCAGGGGCGGCGCCAGAGGCGCCGCCAAGGCGGGCACTGGTGCCGATCCAAAAAATCTGCGCAGACCGTCGAACGTGTACGTTTATGTCGTTTTGTTTTTCTCTCCTCACGGTCATCTGAGGAGACTGTCTTTGAGACAGCTTTGAGCCTAGAGTGTGGGGCTGCTTGGGCCCCCAATGGGCACCTCATAGGTTTGTGGTGAGGCGTCGTCTGTGAGGAGGACAGGGTGCAGGCAGACCCGGGCCCCAGCCAAGGGATGACGGCGACGACGACGACAACGAAGGCCACCACCACGACGACGACGACGACGACGACGACGACGACGACGACGATGACAACGTCGACGACGGCGGCGGCGACAACGTCGACGACGGCGGCGACGACGACGGCGACGACAGCGAGCGGTGACCGACGTCGGGCGTCCGGCGGCCCACGGCGCCCGACGACGGCCGGCGGCTCCTGCGCGCCGCGCCCCCGCGAGGCACGCGGCCCCCTCGGCGCCGTTCCGGGCGCTGCTCAGCGGCGTCTTCGGGGGCAGGCGGAGCCCCGCCCGCCCCGCGGGTGGCCGCCGGGGGCGGCGGCGGCCACTCCCGGGAGGTCCCCACACCAGGTGGTGAGATGTCAGGTGGTGGCCCGGAATCCCCGAGAAGTCCCCGCCGTGTTCTGGAGCACAGGGTCACCGCAGGCTCTCTGTGATTCCTGGACCTACCAGCGTGCGGGGCATCTTCGAAAGACCACGCGAGTCCCCAAACCGGGTGGTGACACCAAATCGCCCGAGATTCACCGCTGGGTGTTGTCACCACCACGTTTGGAGACTACCAAGACTCATCGCCGCGGCCGTCGCCGTCCTCGTGCTGGTCGCTCCTTGTGTCGCCCTCCTCCCCTTCGTCGCCCTCGTCGCCTGCGTCTCCCCCGTCGTCGTCGTCGCCGTCGTCGTCGTCGTTGCCCTGGTCGCCCTGGTCGCCCTTGTCGCCGTCACCTCCTTCTTACAGTTAAGGCGCTGAAACAAGGACCACTTTGGGCTCAGGAAGGGCTCTGGTTTCCAGGACCGTTCCTCGGATGCAGGTCGGGGGGTCTGTTCGTAACCAGGGCTCGGAGTGGCCAGAAAAGCCCCTTCGTTCCTTATTCGGTCTTCCTTTGGGAGCACAACGACTGTACGTCGTGGTCGTCCTCGTCGCCCCTCGTCGTCTCCTCCCCAGGGCCGTCGGCGCCGCGCGCCGCAGGTACGAGCCGGGCGGGTACCTGGGCCGCGGCGCGTCCGCCACCGTGTGGGAGGCCGCGTCGGCCGCCGCCTCCGACGGCGGCTGTGGCGAGGAAGAGGACGGCAACTACGATCGAAGAACAACAAAATGTGTGCACATACGTGCGGAGCTCCGAGCAGATTTCTCTGATCGGCGCTGGTTCCCCCCCTGGCGGCGCCTCCGGCGCCGCCCCTGGCGCGCTCCGCGCTCCAGGGAGAGGGGTCCAGAGCCGATCCACGAAATCCGCGCGGACCGTCGAAAGTTTACGTCTATGCCGTTGTTTTTCTTGTAAACGTGGGCGGTGACGACGAGGGCGGCGGCGGCGGCGGCGAGGGCGGCGGCGGCCCCAGCGGCGGTGGCGGCAGCGAAAGGGAAGCGGCAGCGAGGACGCCCATTAGCGGTAACAATCCTGAGAAGGACGGGGAAGGGGGGGAGGAGGGGGGAGTGGCAAGAGAGAGGGGAAGAAGGAGAGGATGAGGAGGAGCGGGAGGGAGGAGGAGAAGGAGGGGGACGTGGGACGCAGGACGCAGCATAAGACGAGGAACTGTCAGACAGGACCTCGCTCGCTCGTGTGGATCCGCCAGCCCCCGATTTGGGAGGCGGGTCGGAGGTGGAGCGAGCCCTTTGGATGGCACCGGGCTCGCAGCAGATCACCTCCCACTCCGCCAGAGCTCGGCCCCACGGCGCGCGAACTCGCCCGCCGCCGCGAAGATGGCGGCCGGGCCGCTGCCGAGGGCGACACCGAGCCTGCGGGCCACGGCTGCCAACCGAGCCGGCGCCACCGGAGCCGCTGGCCGCGCAGGCGCCTTGCCAGTCACCGCAGCCGCCACCATCGCCGAAGGCAGCGAGGGGAGCGTGTCGGCCCAGCTGTCGTCATCCAGGGGCGAAGGTGGGGCCGCGACGCCCTCGCACTGCGAGCCCCCAGCCGCGACCGCCGCCGCCGCCCCATCCGCAGCTGCCTCCACCGCCATGGCGCTGGGAGGAGCCGCGGGCTCGACCAGCATGCCAGCCGCACGGCGCTTCCTGGCGCGACGCCGCTTCCGCCGTGGCCGAGGGCCATCGGGCGGCGCAGCAGCCGCGGGAGTGCCAGGCAGCCCTGCGCCTCCGCCGTCACCCTCAGCACGGAAGGCGTGTGCATGCGGGCGCTGAGGCTGGGCAGCCTGCAGCTCCGCCACGGCCGCGCGGCAGATGCCCTCCGCCGAGCGCAGCAAGCGGCAGGCCGCTCCTGCACCGCCGCCATCGGAGCCCCCGGCGAGCACGGCGGAGGCGCGCGCCCAGCGACTCGGGAAAGATGCAAAACGGCTGAAAAGAAGGAGGAGGAGGAAGAGAAAGCGGAGGAGGAGGAAGAGGAGGAGGAGGAGGAGGAGGAGGAGGAGGAGGAGGAGAAGGGGGAGGAGGAGCGGAGGGACGAGGAGGAGGAGGAGGAGGAGGAGAACGAGGAGGAGGAGAAGAGTGGGCACGTTTTCGGATGTCACCCACGGCGGGGTCGAGTTGACAGCCCCGAGCGGTTTCCCTGCGGTCTGCCCCACCGACTCCCCCGGCGCCGGGCAGCGGCCCCCGCAGCATTTCATTGAGCCAGCCCCTCCTCCTCCTCCTCCTCCTCCTCCTCCTCCTCCTCCTCCTCCTCCTCCTCCTCCTGCCATGACATACAGATGCGCAAGGCGCAAGGGTAGGAATCGAAAAGGACGTCTACTGCAGTGAGTGATGACAGGATCTCGGCGCGGTTTACCACCGTAGTGTTTCCGTTTGGCCGAAACAGTGCAAACAAGATCAAAGTGTAGCGACCCAGAACGAGGTCAAGTGTAGTAGCCCAAGAACGTGACCAAGTGTAGTAAGCAAAGGAGGTCAGGTGTGATATGCAGCGGCCACAGCATCGGATGTGGTAGCCAACATCAATGTGAAGTGCAGCAGCGCAAGAGCGATGGCAAGTGCCCTTGCCAAAAACGATGACAAGTGTAAAGCGCAGCAAGCAGAAACGATATCAGTTGTAGTAGCCCTGAAAGAGGTCGAGTGTAGCAACCCCAGACGAGATCAAGCACAGCAGCCGAGCATGGGACCTACCCCAGTAGTGAAGCTGTGGTTTCTTAACACGCCGCTTCTGGCCATTCAGGCCTTGGAACAAATTGCGAACGAGCATGCCAAATTCATCAGTCAACGCCTCCCACTCCCCCCAATGTTACAAGTTGGCGGTGGATCTGATGAGTTGCACTTCGACCGCAGTCTCCTCCGCGCGCGCCAACTTTGAATTTTGGGGAGCGGGGGAGTGTCCACTAAGTGTTTCCCCCCACCGTTGCGAGGAAGTGCCTGGGGCCGTTCCCCATCGCTTCTGCCAGGAGGGGGGGCTCTTCTTTTGACCACGCGCGCCTCTGTTGCGGGCGCCGCGTAGGTCCTGAGCGTTGGCCGGATTGTGTTCCCGACGCTAAACTCCATAAATATAGATTTTCGGCGCTCCGCGCGGATGTCTTGGATCTGCGCTGGGACCCCCTGGCGGCGCCGCCGGCGCTGCCCCTTGCGCGCTCCGCACGCCAGGGAGGGGGGTCCAGCGCAGACCCCAGAAATCCGCGCGGAGCGCCTGAATTTTCTGTTTATGTTTTGTTTTTCTTTTATTACCGTCGCCGCACACCGCTATCGTCACACCTCGGGTTGTTCCCTTGGGGAAGCTCGACGCGGACGTCTTGTGCAGCTCTTGGCGATATCTTGTGGTGTCTTAGCGTTTGCGCGCATATTAGGCCGCGTGTCCCGTCCAGCCCAGTGTCTGTTACCGATCTTGCCATTGGGCTTGCTTGTGAAATTAATGTTGGCGTGTCCCGGCAAGCCCTCCACCGTTCCTCCCACATAGGTTGTGGGCGCGTTGCACAGGGCAGAGGCGAGGACCGCCATGTCGGCAAGTTCCACATGGGTTAACAAGTTGTCATATCGCGACTCTCAGTGGTTGCCGGGTTTGCTGGATTTGCTAGGCTTGTTGGACGTTGCCGTCGCAGTGCGAGTGTCGAGTAGTAGACAAAAGGCGTTTTCATCCGTTCTGCACCTCCCCACCAGGAAATCATCGCGCGAACTCCAGCAGGCGGTCATACGTCATGGACTCATTGAGTCGACGCAATAAAACGGTGTCGTCTGCGCCGGCATTGGTGTGTAATCTACCCAGGTCAGGTCGCAAGTAAGCGCCCTGGTTCCCAATGTAACGTGCCGCGCTGGCAGCCCGCTAAGGTCGCTACTTCATCTCGCGCAAGGCCCGTCTTTATCGTTGCTCATCTGCAGACTGAAGGACGGCAGGCCAGAGTTTATCAGACAGTCTCAAAACATTCCGCCTGAACCCACGAAATGCTGTGGCATTTTTCGAGCGGCCCCTCCCATCCTGTCGTCGCCGCTCGTCCTCCACATTTGCTGCTACTCGTCCTATTTTTTGTTCCTCTCTCTCTCTTCTCTCTTTGTCCCCTCACCTTTTGATCCTTCTCCTCCTGCCGCGGCTGTTCCTCCTAGCCCTTCTTCTACTTCGAATTTGTAGTACGAGTATTAGTACTGTTGCTTGTAGTGGCCTCCAGCCAGTGCCGCCGATCCGGGGCGCTCCGGGTGCCTGTGGAAATGAACGACGACGAGGAAGACGAAAACGACGACGAAAACGAATACGTCGACGACGACGACGACGAGAGCGACGACGACAACGACCACGACGACGACGACGACGACGACGACGACGACGACGACGACGACGACGACGACGACGACGACGCGAGACGACGACGACGACGACGACGACGATGACGACGACGACGACGACGACGACGACGACGACGACGACGACGACGACGACGACGACGACGACGACGACGACGACGACGACGACGACGACGACGACGACGACGACGACGACGACGACGACGACGACGACGACGACGACGACGACGACGACGACGACGACGACGACGACGACGACGCGACGACGACGACGACGACGACGACGACGACGACGACGACGACGACGACGACGACGACGACGACGACAACGACGACGACGACGACGACGACGACGACGGGGGGGGAAGCTGGGTTGCAGGGGGGGGTCTCTGCTCTGCAGGGGGTCCGCTCGGCAGAGGGGAGGGGCTGCAGGGGAGAGGGGGGGTCCGCTCTGCAGGGAGGGGGGGGGGGGGGGGGCGCTGCAGGAGGGGTGGTCTGCTCTGCAGGAGGGGGGGGGGCAGGGGAGGGGGGGGGGGTCCGCTCTGCAGGGGGGCGGGGCTGCACGGGGGGGGTCCGCTCTGCATGGGAAGGGGGGGCTGGGCTGCAGGGGGGGGGGGTCCGCTTTGCAGGGGGAGAGGGTGCAGGAGGGGGGGTCTGCTCTGCAGGAGGGGGGGGTGCAGGGGAGGGGGGAGGGGTCCGCTCTGCAGGGGGGGGGGGGGCTGCAGGGGGGGTCCGCTCTGCAGGGGGGGTCTGCTTGCAGGGGAGGGGGTGGCAGGGGAGGGGGGGGGGGGGGTCCGCTCTGCAGGGGGGGGGGGGGGCGGAGGGGGGTCCGCTCTGCAGGGGGAGGGGGGGGGCTGGGCTGCAGGAGGAGGGAGGGGGCGGCGCTCTGCAGGGGGGAGGGCTCGCTCTGGAGGGGGAGGGGGTGCGAAGCACTGAATTAGGTCGGAAATGAGGTCCCCCCCCACTCCCGAAGCACTGAATTAGGTCGGAAATGAGGTCCCCCCCCCCGCAGAGCGAAGCTTGAGCGAGCTCAAGCCCACGCTCTCAGAAACTCACACGCCGGATCGGCGGATAGTAATATTATCATCCGTATTACTATCATTGCTGCTTCTCTGCTTCTCCTCCTCCAGTTCCGTCGGACGGCGACGACGACGACGACATCGACCAGGACGACAACGACGACCACAACGACGACGACGACGACGACGACGACGACGACGACGACGGGCGACGACGACGGACACGACGACCACGACGACGACCACGACGACCACGACGACCACGGCGACGACCACAATGCCGACGGACGACGACGACGGACGAAGGACGACGGACGACGGACGACGATGACGTCGACGACGACGGACGACCACAATGCCGACGGACGACGATGACGGACGACGGACGACGGACGGCGACGACGACGACGACGACGACGACGACGACGACGACGGCGAAGGACGACGGACGACGGACGACGATGACGTCGACGACGACGGACGACCTCATCCTCCTCATCCTCCTCCTCCTCCTCCTCCTCCTCCCTCCTCCTCCGTCCTCCTCCTCCTCCTCGCCCCCGTGCTCCTCCTGGTTCTCGTCGTCCTCCTCTTCCTTTTCCTCCTCGCCTTTCTCTCCTCGTGTTCCTCGTCCTCATCGTCGTCCTCCTACTCCTCCGTCCTCCTCCTCCTCCTCCTCCTCCTCCTCCTCCTCCTCCTCCTCCTCTTCCACATCCTCCTCCTGCTCCTCTGCTTCCTCGTCCCGTTCGGTGTAGAGGATGATGTCGAGAAAGAGCAGGATGGAAAAGGCGACGAGGGACCCCGAAATCCCCGGAAACGAGAAGGCAAGGCCTCCTCCTCCTCCTCCTTCTCCTCCTCTGCCTCCTCGCCCTCAGTTTTCGTCTCGCTGCTCCTCTCCCTCCGACAGAGCGGTCCGCGCCGGGCCCTGTCGCAGCCAGGCCGTACATGCCGACTCCCAGAGGCGCGTGGCCGTGAAGTGCTTCGAGAGGAACGGGCAGGACCGCACCGGCGCGACCCCGCGCCGGCCGCTGACGCCGTCCGGTGTCGCCGCCGTCGTCGTCAGTAACGATGTGAGCCTGCGGGCCGGAAATGCGTCCCTTCTTGTTTGATAGGGAGCGCAGGGGTAGAACAAGTCGCCAGGTGAAGACAATCTTGACCGCGGCCGCGGGGAACAACTCACCAGAGCATTATAACCTCATGCCCGTGAGAATAAACACTAGGGGATAATAAAGTTCGGGGTTCAGGGAGAGATAATAATAGTAGCCCAGCAGACCTCAGCATAATCTCGAAGTAAGAGATGATCAAGAGGAGACCAAGCCGAGCACGTTTTGAGACATCCTTGGCGTTTAGTTTTCATAGAAATATCCTCAACAATGGCCTATCTCGCTGGAGACATCCTCGACAAATCCCTTGTTTCGCTTGAGACATCCGCAAACTATTGCTTATTTCGCTTGAGAGCTCGTGTAGGGTAGCTCATGTGCTTCATTTTCCATGGATAATCAACCCCAGGGGTAAAAAAGTTCAGGCGAGCGTGAGGACAGATAGAAATATAAAATAAGAAGAGGAAAGTAGAATAATAATAAGAAGAGAAGAAGAAGAGAAGAAGAAGAAGAGAAGAAGAACAGAAAAATTGCAGGTTCCAAATCTATCAATTTTAATTTACAAACGCTTTATGAAAATTGATTTGTTTAAGTGCTCATGTAGGGTAGCGGTAGCTCATGTGCTCCCCTTTCCATGGATAATCAACCCCAGAGATAAAAAAGTTCAGGCGCGCGCGGGGATAGATACATATATAAAAAGGAAGATAATAAAAAAATGTAAATAAAAAGAAAAAACTTGCTGGTTTAGCTTGAAACATCCTTGAGACATCCTTGGAACATTGCTCGTTTCGTTTGAGTCTGCCTCCCAAAATGTTTGGTTTCGCTCGAGACATCCTGAAAAAGTGTGATCGCTTCGCTTGATGTTGCTATCTCAACATAGCGTTTCGAGGTGATAATGAAGTTCGGCCTCAGCGCTCGCCGCCCAAATTGAATTTTGTATAGGGCGACGATAATCAACTCTAAACACTGAAGGGGGGGTCCCTTTATTATCATCGGCATGCGGTTAACATTGGTCACAACCGCAGGCACAGCTTACCACATCAACATAACACCACGATGACAACCCAACCTGTCCACATTCGCAAGGTCTCCTTGCTGTCTCCAGACGCATTGTATGCAGTTCGGTTGGTTCGGAGCCTCATGCGTGACCAGCCCGCCTTTGATGCGCACGCGTGTCAGGAAATATTTTCAGCGCTGGCTTAAAGTGAGACCCCCGAGCAATCGGCGCCAAGGAGGGATGAATTTGAGGGTTGCTGCATGTGGCTATCGTGTGGCATCACCGTTGAAACCCACCCATTCAACAACCGTCCTTGGCTCAACTAGCACGGCTAAGGTAAGAGGTTGCGCGGCGACATGCTTGCGCAGTACAGGCAGCACTTGCTTACCGAGGCCGAAAGTGTTCTTCTTGGAGTAAGAGTGCGACAACACCTACGGATCCAAGTGGATCCCTTTCTCGGTCGGTGTGTAACAGTTTCGTGGCTCCTATTTCTGTGCTGCGCAGATCGATTCTCGCATGTGAGAAAAAACAATGGATCCATGTATTTTCGCGGAGCGGTTCTTAATAATAATTGATACAAGTGGCACGCGTGCCCTGGTTTTTGCACAATCAGGTATCGAAGGACGGAGGGAGGCCGGGGAGGGAGCACAAACGACGAACGAAGGACGAACGAAGGACGAAGGATGCGGATGATGAGCACAAGGACGAGGAAGTCTGGGTAGTGGGGAAAAGGGCTTGACCTCCTCCAAGTATGTTTTTTCGAATAGCTGGGCTTCCATCGCATCCAAGAGTGTGGGTGACACGCGGGGGAGGTGGCTGGAGCGCCGACCCAGGGCCAGAGGGGGGGCTGGGGGGGGGCCAGAGCCAGGGACGAACCACGAACAAGGGGGCTGGTGCTTCGACCCAGGGCCAGAAGGGGGGCTGGGGTGGGAGCACCAGGAACCACGAACCACGACGAAAGTCAAGGGCTCCGGGGCCAGGGTGGCTGGTGCTCCAGCGCCAGGGGTGCTGGGGCCTCGACCCAGGGCTCGAGCCAAGGGGGAGACGGGGAAGGAGATACTGGGGCCTCGACCCAGGGCCAGAAGGGAGGGAGCGGGAGCCAGGGCCAGGGACGAACCACGAACGAATCTCGAACCACGACGAAAATAAAACATAGCTGTGCAAGAGAATAAAGGGTTCCGCGGCCCAGGGGGGCTGTCCTGGGAAGCCTGGACGGAGGAAGGCTCCCAAGGGTGGGTGGCTCAGGGGAGCTGGGGCTCAGGCTCAGGGGGGGGGCCGAGGGGGACGAACCACCACGAGCCACGACGAAAATAAAGGGTTCCGCGACCCAGGGGGGCTGCCCTGGGAAGCCTGAACGGAGGGGGGGTCCCAAGTGGGGGTGGCCCAGGGGAGCTGGGGCTCAAGCTCAGGGGAGGGGCCGAGGGGGACGAACCACAACGAACCACGAATCACGACGAAAATAAGGATGTCCGCGGCCCAGGGGGGCTGTCCTGGGAAGCCTGGACGGAGCAAGCAAGTCTCCGAAGGGTGGGTGGCCCAGGGGAGCTGAGGCTCAGACTCAGGGGAGGGGCCGGGGGGGACGAACCACGACGAACCACGAACCACGACGAAAAAAGGATGTCCGCGGCCCAGGGGGGCTGTCCTGGGAAGCCTGGACGGAGCAAGCCTCCGAAGGGTGGGTAGCCCAGGGGGGCTGGGGCTCAGGCTCAGGGGAGGGGCCGAGGGGGACGAACCACCGGACGAAAATAAAGATGTCCGAGCTCTAAAGCACAATTGTGCAAGAGGATAGAGGGTTCCGCGGTCAGCCTTCCGCACCTGGCCGAGGTGCCACCTCCTCCCCGGACAACTGAAGTCATGTTTTATGTTCGTGGTGTGCTTCCCCTCCTCCCCCCGAGAGTCAGCCACGCGCAGAGGACGGCAGTGTGGGCGGGGGGAAGGCTCCTTCGAAGCACCCCTGCTTCTGAGAAGGCGCGGGCCTTCTCTACAGATGCAAGGCCGGCCCCTTCTAAGAAGCAGCCTCCTTCTAGGAAGCTTTCCCCCCTCCCATCGTCCCCTTGTGCGCGCCGCCCAGCCTCCCCCCCACACCGGAGCTCTCGCTCCCGTCTCCGGGACGGGTGTCTCGTCCTGCGCCGCCGCCGTCCCGTCGCGGGGCCCGAGGCGGGCTTCCCGGATTGACCGAGATCCAGTCGAAGCCCTGTGCTCCACGCTGCCTCCGCGGCGAGGGCTGCCGGGGCCCCCCGCAGGACTCGAAGAAGCAGGCCCTGCGGGAGATGCGGGTGCTCTCCAAGATCCGGCACCCGCGGGTGCTGGAGGCGCAGCCGCTCTCTCGGCCCGCTGGGGGAAGTCGGGGGGCGGCGTCGCTTCGTGCAGAGCCCTCGGCCCTCTCCGCTCCCTCCTTCCTCGCTAACCTCCCCCCCGCCTCCCCTCCTCCCTCATACTTCGAAGCCTCGAACCTGCGGGCCACCTGATCCTCCTCCTCCTCCTCCTCCTCCTCCTCCTCCTCCTCCTCATCCTCCTCCCCCTCCCGCCTCCCTCCTCCTCCTCCCTCCTCTCCTTCGCCCTCTTCATTATACCTGTACGACCACCCTGCGGGTGATAAGGAGGTGAGGGGGGAGGGGGAACCAACGTCTTACTCAATCGATTTCACAATCGATCTCACATTCGATTTCACATTCGATCTCACTATCGATATCACTATCGATCTCGCTATCGATCTCACTATCGATCTCACAATCGATCTCACAATCGATCTCACATTCGGTCACACATTCAGTCTCACTGTCGATATCACAATCGATCTCACAATCGACGTCATCATCATCATCATCATCAACATCAACATCAACATCAACATCAACCTCATCATCATCGCCATCATCAACATCATCATCACCATCATCATCATCACCATCACCATCATAATCATCATCATAATGATCATCAACATCATCATCGGGACACCGACGGGACACCGACGGGACACCGGCGGGACACCGGCGGGACACCGCGCGCCACCGGCCGCCTGGAAGAGACACATTTGGTCCGGCCGCGCCTCAGCCGCAGGGACACCGACGGGACACCAGCGGCACACCGGCGGGACACCGCGCGCCACCGGCCGCCCGGTGGAGAATCATTTGGTCCGGCCGCGCCTCAGCCACAGGAGACTTTCTCTCGCCCGCCCACGCAGCTTCGCCTCGCCCGCACGCACGGCACGCACGAACACGAAACCGAAATCGATTTCCCGGTAGGGGGGCTATCCGTTCCACTTCGATCTCACCCCCTCACCTCCGATCTCCCCCCCCCTCAGCATTTCTGGCACAGGTATTGGGGGACGGCTGTCTTTAGAGCGGCAGTCCCTTTTGCGCGGGTCTTATGATTGGCTCGGGATTCAGCTCGAGGGAGCAACCCAACCCTCATTCTGTCGTGTGAGCTCCTACAGGAGCATAGAGTGTGCACGGCGCGACGAGATGAAGCAGAGATTCTCCCAGGGCCGCGCGAGCCCGAGTGGGGATGTCCAAGTTGCGGCAGGTACCATAATGCCGCCTGCCACATCAGGTGCCGTACGGGCAGTCCGCTCCGCAGTCGATCGTGGCTCGTGAGCGCCGCCAAACAACCACTGCGGGCGTGCCTCCTCCTGCCGGCGGCAGCGGCGGAGGGCAGCCACGCGCGCGGCGCATGGGCGAGGGGACCGCCGACCGATCTCGCCAGCCAGCCTGCAGGCCTTCAGAGGTTGCCATTTCCTCCTTCTCCTCCTCCTCCTTCTCCTCCTTCTCCTCCTCCTCCTCCTCCTCCTCCTCCTCCTCCTCCTCCTCCTCGGTATGGAGCAGTGCAGGTTGGCAGAGCAGCCCCCCGCGGCCGCGGGGTACGGCGGCCAGCGTCGGGGCAGGAGCCGGCACAGGCCAAGGACGGCGAGCGGGATGGCGGTGGACAGCGTGCCAAATGTCTTTGCTCGTGTGCATTGCCACGGGGGGAAGCGAATCCTGAGGGAAGCGGTCGGGGGTGGACGGAACCCCCAACAGTGACACGTCGATTAGTGAATTGTCCGTTTTCGGTTCTCGAGATGGCGCCGTGGCCGTTATTTTCCAGGCTTGCGCCCGCCAGGTTTGGGCCTCAGGTCGTTTTCACTAAACCGCGTTTTACTAAAGGGGGTCTGTCCATCCCCGAAGGGGGTCCCGAGGTTCGCTGGCTCGGGAGAAGAAGAGGACCGTCTGGTCCCGCCGCACGGCTCTCGGGCAGGAGTTGGCCGACCAGAACCAAGAGCGCAGGCTTTTGTAGATGTCCCAGGAGATGAGACTCAAAGGTTTCTATTGTCAAAAGGGCTCCACGAAGCATGGTACAATTCCGCAGGAGATTGGGAGGCGTTTGAATCTGACTTCCCACGGAAGAAGGATGACACGTGAGGGCTGCGGCCCACGCGCCCTGCCCCGTGCGGGTCGGCCATCTCGGCCCGATGCGGCGCGCCTCGCCTCGCGTCGCCTCGCCCAAGAGATCGAGGACCAGGAAGGAGCTCGTCGCGAGTGCTCGGCGGGCACCGGCCGACCTCCACGAGAAGCAGCCCACAGCACCACGGTGGAGAGATCGAAGCCATCGAGGTGGGACTGCAGTATGCGACGCGAGCGGCCGCCCCGAGCGGCCTGGCAGACATCCTCACCGGCGACACGGACTTGCCGACGGAATTGCTGGACTCGGGCGACGCCAGAGAGGGCAGAGCCACGGTCTCCACGACGGCCTTCGCGAAGCTCGAGCAGCTCTTAGCGACCCGTGCGGTTGCGTCTGCAGCCGCGCGCGCTCCCCCACGCGCGCGGCCAGGGGCCGCCCAGCAGGCACCCGCGGGGGAGGCAGGAGAGGTCGGGATTCCAGCAGGGCCAGCGGATATCGGTACGGTTGGCTGAGCCAAGGCAGAGGTTCAAGAATGTTTAGGTTGATGCCTGAAAAGGAAGCCTTCGAGCATGCAAGAGAGTCCGGATAGCTCCCGGAGACTGTCGGGGTACGGGCTAGGAGTGGGGGTGACGAGCTGCATCACCCACATGTTCCACGGGTCTCAGGCGGTCCAGTTCCACCTCTGAAGGGAGAACCGAAGGCAAGTGCCAGCTCGGATCCTTTCGCGGCTGAGAGATTCAACGGGTCATGTTGGCCCACAGCTTGTCGATGCCTTAAGGATCGGCAGCAATCGTGTTGCGCGCCCAGGAGGTAGGCGTCAGCGAGCAATTTGTCTGACAGGCGACGGCTTCGCCATGGTTCCAGGCTGGTACGCGTTGTTCGCCCCGTGGGCCGCGAACCCAGCGACTAGTTGACATGTCGCGCGGGGCGGTGATCTTTGCTCGTCTTACCGTGGGACTGTGATGGCCCCTGAAGGCTCATGTCGTATCGTCTGCCGCCATGCCATAAAAGTCATGGTCGGCTTCCCTAGGTGGCCCACGAAGTCCCTGCTCCTCGTGTATCTTCGGATGCCGTAGGGCCTCAGCGAGGCCGACGTCGGCATATACAGGCTAAGATCGGCAAGGCCGTGCATGACCCGACCCACACGATTAGCACTGGGGGTTGGAATATCGAGTGGCCTTCGGCCCTTATGGGTCATAGTCCTGCCGGATGTTCGTTGGGATGTCGCGGGAGGCCTCTCGGGGGCCTCGTGGAGGCAGTTTGGGGGCCGTGTTTGGGCCTTTGGGGGCGTCTTGGGGGCCTCTATGGCCGTCTTGGGGCGGTCTTGGAGGCCCCTTGGGACGCCTGGGATCGCCGGAAGCTCGAAAAGGCGAGAACCGTAAGAAGCATTGCACAGCTTGAGCAAATGAATGGTTTTGGCATCTCGGGGCCCTCTTGGAAAGGCGATTGGAGGCAGATTGATCAGGAGGGAAATAAACACACAGACACAATTAATCGTCGACTCCCAGGAAAATACAGGAAACTATGGGAAGCGGGGGGGACGACAAAAACCCAGAAAACATATGAAAATATGGGGAATATGTTGATTTGTGTGTGTATTTGTTTGTGTGTCCCAGGGCCCCTTTATATTGAGAGGTCTTGGGTGCTGCTTCGGCCGACTGGAGCCCATCTTGGGCGTCTCGGGCCGATCGTTCCGCGACTCGGGGCTCTCTTGTGGGCCATCTTGGGGGCCTCTCGAGGAGCACTCTTGGCCCGCCTTGGGGGTGCGAGCCCGAGCAAGTCGTGCGACAAGCCCGGGGAGCCACGCGGCAAGCCCTAGGAGATTGAGGATTTTTACCAGCCTGGAACATATCCCTATCCCTATGCTGGGCACCTCCTCATCACGATGCCAACCTTAGGGATTCCCTTATTTTTTGAGGGCGGATCCCTAAGATTGTCATCGCCTTTTGGCGTGTCAATCTTAGGGATAGGGATACGTTCGAGGCTGGTAAGATTTGTTGGGTCTGGCCCCAAAACTTCTCAAGATTTGAAGATGGAGGCTCTGTGGGACTGAGCAAAGGGCATGAGAACACTCGAGCTCGTGCCTCAAGGGCACGGTGGCGGATATAGCTTGCGGTGCTGGAGTGTTCTGGGGCCCCTCTAGAGTTGGGAATGCTTGTTCTAGCCCCGTCTGCTCACGCGTGTCGGACCCCCTCTCCGAATAGTACGATTGAAGGTTTCCTGAGGGGACCTGGGCTCTCTAGATGAATCCGACGGCGGACACGTCTTGGGAAGTGAAACCGCACGAACCAGCGCAGGCGAAAGTCCGCTTGGATGCCCAGCAGCTTCGCCAACTTGTTCATCGGTCTTGTCGGCACGTTCCAGTCCACGCACCTTTCGGCCCACGGCCCCGCCCTGCGGTGCGGCGCGGTGTGACCATCAAGTCTTCGTGGGCGTGAGCATCCTGCTGGCTTGCGGAGACAGATGATGAGTTCCAGGTCGTCGCAGCTTGGACGCGGCCCTACCAGTCGGTGCTGCATTTGTTGCCGACGTCGCAGGGCCTCGCGGAGGAGCCCCCCTCACACACTTGCACGCATCGCTGGCAATGCATCGCCAGTGCATCGCCGATGCATCGGCGATGTATCGCCGATGCGGCGCGACCGGCGACCAGGCTACCCCATCTACTCCGACCCCATCTGGGAGCCTCTACCGAAGGAGGTCGCAGGGCCATTCTTCTGCCAGGGGCTGTCGCGCGGATTCGGGAGCGTCCTCGGAGACCTCCTGCCAGGTTTCCAAAGACCTCAGGCCAGGGGCTTCCTGGACAGGGCCCAACGGCCCACCGATCTTTTGGCGCCGGGCAGAGTGCTGCGGCTTCGGCTTCATGTGATCTTCTGGTTCTCTTCCTCCTCCTCCTCCTCCTCCTCCTCCTCCTCCTCCTCCTCCTCCTCCTCCTCCTCCTCCTCCTCCTCCTCCTCCTCCTCCTCCCCCCCCTCTTCCTCTGCTGCTTGCAAATAAGAGACAGGACTGCCTTTGCCTTGCGCTGTTTTGCACTTCCAGTTTCAGAGAACGCTTGAGGACCATGAGTGGCCAGTGCGCCGCCCGGCGCACGGCTAGGAGTGAGAGTGCTGAGGCTTCGGCATTGCAGCAGAGTGTTCGGGCTGAGGGGGGCTTCCTCCAGTGGCGAGTCCACGGCATGTTTCATGCAAGACGACAGAATATCACGAGTCGTTTCGGCTGGCCTGGCTCAAGGGACAGGGCTCTGTGCTAGATGCCCCCGATCGTCCTCGCCAAGACCCTGCACACTCTATGGAGGTCTCCTCGCGTCCTCAGGCCTGGGGCCCATCACCGTCTTCTTCTGCAGATCGTGGAGCGCGGGCTGCCAGCTGGAGATATTTTCAGTTATGGACTCGTCAAGGTTTACGCCGTGCTTGAATTTGACGTAAGTCGGGCGTGTCCCTCTACAGGAGGAATGTTCAAAAATAGTCAGAAAATAGTCTGGGGGCGATGTTTCGACTATGTCTAACAATGTTTGAGCATGTTTTGGCTAGTGTCCGCATGTCTTCCGAAATCCGCCTGTAGGAGGACATGGCCGACCCAAAGTTTGACGTGTTGTCGGTTCACGGTCCAGGAGTGCCGCTGGGGTCGTACGTCGACGACGGCACCTTAGCAGCAGATGAGCCAGATCACATCTTCCCAGCCTTGGCCCAGGCCGCCAGGGATCTGAAGAAGATGTGTTTATTCGCGCCGGATTGGTGTCAGGCTGGCAGAGGTGCAGGTGGTTCCCTTCGCCTCGCCCAAGAAGCTGGCCTCTGAGTTGCAGCGCGGCCTCGTTCCGACGTGCCAGTGTTGCCCTGGGAGTGGATCTGTCACCTGGTCAGAAGTCTGGCGCGCGTTGAGCCCGTGCGCCACGCCAGCCACATTTCCGTGATGTGAGAGCGCGCGACAGTTCTCTCAGGCACTACAAACAGAAGCTACCCAGAGTCAGGATGCGCGCGGGCATACGCGGGTCTGCCCAGAGCGAAAAAGGTCAGGTTCTATCGGCCGGCACCTTTCCCCCCCCCGGATAACCCGAACCATCGCCGAATATTAGAAGACGAAGGAGGAGGAGGAGGAGGAGGACGAGGACGAGGACGAGGACGAGGAGGAGGAGGAGGAGGAGACGAAAGAGGAGGAGAGGAGGAGGACGTGGAGGAGTACGAGGAGGAGGAGGGGGTGGAGGAGGAGGAGGAGGAGGACCATCGAAGGGAACACGGGAGATCCGCACCGTTCCGTCATCTGCGACGAGGTGTATCGCCGCCTGGGCTCCGAGGCGGCGCCGCGGGCGGGCAGCAGAGGGGCCACGAGCAGGAGACTCCCCTGAGGGTCAGGAGGGACAAAAACACACACACACACACAGACACACACACACACAGACACAACTAGCCGTCGATTCCCAGGGAGACATGGGGGAAAATATGGGAAGTGGGAGGGGAATACGAACATCCAGAGGATATGGAAAGATATGGGGAATCCTAGGAGTTGTTTCTAGTTATGTGTGTGTCCCGAGGGTCGAGGGTCGAGGGTCGAGGGTCGAGGGTCGAGGATCGAGGATCGAGGATCGAGGTTCGCGGGGCGAGGGTTGAGGGTCGAGGGCTCCTCCCCCCCCCTTTGGCGAGGCCTACGAGGTGATCGAGACCTCCTCCTCCGCGCACCTCGTCTGCGAGCACGTCGACGGCGAGTCCCTGCGCGCCCTCGTCCGCCGGCAGCCCGGCGCCAGGCTCTGCGAGGCGGGCCGCCCGCCCGTCGGCGCCCGTCGTCGTCGTCGGCGCCCGTCGTCGTCGTCGTCGCCCGTCGTCGTCGTCGTCGTCCTCGTCGTCGTCGTCGTCGGCGTCGGCGTCGTCGTCATCGATGGCATCATGCTGCTTATGCTCAACATTATCCAGTGTCTGGTTGTTCGCCTTATGATAGGTGTTGTTATGTTGATGGTTCGTAGTATCAGTTGTCTGACGATCCGTCTTGCTGTCATGGTTACGTGTAGTCATCGTCGCCGTCCGTCCGCCCAGACCATCGCCGTCGTCGTCGTCCGTCGTCATGGTCGGTCGTGGTCGTCGTCTCTCGTCGTCGGTCATCGTCGTCTGTCGTTCGTCGTCGTCGTTATTCGTCGTCGTCGTCGTCGTGAGTCGTCCTCGTCGTTATTCATCGTCGTCGTTCGTCGTCGGCGGAGGCCACTTCACTACGCCATGAAATAGTTTTAGACGGTTCGTGAGAATGTCGTGATGCGTTGGGCTTCGTCCGCAGATTCCGCGCGAGCGGGCGGGCGGAGGCCTTCCATTGTGCCGACTGCGCCGAGTTGGCCTTCCACTCTCGCCTGGAGTCCTAGCCGGCCGAGTCGAGAGCAGTCGGATCAAAGATCTCGGATTTCTTACCCGAGGATATGACAGGTTATGTTATGTTTGCAAGCGGTGTGTTGAAGTCCCAGCTTTTATTTTAATGTGTATGTATATGCATAATTAAGTAATAGAAATCCCGCCGCACGGGATGTTGTCCCTGCCACTGTCATACGATCGCATCTCATGTCATCACGAAATGTACGGAACGCCGATATAGTTGGAGATAGTGTCTGATGTCTTTGGAGGTGTCCGCGGAGTTCTAGAAGTTTCTGCCGATGAGGTGCCCAGTAGAGGGATCCAGCAAATCGAATGTTTCCTTTAGCTTCCATCCTCGCTTCCTCCTTTATCTCTGCCTCGCAAATCCCTCGTAAATCCCCCTAGTCCACCTTCTCCCCCCCTCCTATGCCTTGCCCTCCTCCATTCGTTTTCTATCCTCCTCATCCGCTTCCTCCTGTCTTATGCGTCGCACCCTCGCCGAGTTTCTCTGATAGTCTGCGGGTCGCTTTCCTGTTGATCCGTGATCATCCTCTTCATCCTCCCTCCTCCCCCGTACTCTCCATGCCCCCCCCGCCCCCGTTCCGAGAACCTCGGGAAGACCGGCGAAAATCGGGAGAGGATCTTCTCACAATTCTGAACCTTGTGTTCTCCTCTCCCCACTGCTCCCACTCCTCGCTCCCGCGACCAGCTCGTCCTCCCGTCTTCATCCTCTTCACACCTCCCTCCTCAGTCGCCCCCTCTCCCTTGTTTGGGCTGACGGGTGCTCCAGGTGTCAGTTCGGCCCATGCTTGCCACGGGGGAGGAGGAAGGACAAAGAGCAGGGGGGGAAGCATCGATGCGTGGTGACGAACGCCATTATGCGAAGGTTCTGAGACAAGTGAAGGTGATTTGGGAAGTCCCCCCCACACGGCCGTCTTCTTTAGCAGAGAGGCCGTACGAAGGGCCACGCCGCCCTCGAGTGCCAATTGATGGTATGCTGGACTGGCGAACCTCAAACAGCCTACGACACGGTCACCCATGCAGGCAGTTAGCGAGCGCGTGTTGACCGAGTGGCGCAGGCGGTGTGCACACAAATATTGATTTGGTTCCTTCCGATGGAAAGGCACTTGCAGCCCGAACGGACAAGATGAGCAGAGAGCTCGACATGCAGAGGGCACCAAACAGAGTGACCCGTTGAGCTGGTTTCGGGTGGCGACGTGCCGTCTTCCCCCTTGTTCTTTCCCCCCCCTCTCCTCTGCAGCCACCTGGCTCAGAGTCGGTGATCCTCCCGCCGACCCTGCACATTGAAGCGCGCTCTGCCCACCAGAAGGTGGGAGAGCAGCGCGGGCTAAGCTCGCATGCCATTGAAAAAGTTGGTGACGCCCGCCCCTCCGCCTCCCAAACCCCCTCTGAAGCGAGAGCGCTTACGTTGTGCAATCTCACGATTGTTTCACTGCATCGCAGGGAGTATTGTGCACAGGATCAAGCGAAAATGCTCTTGAAGCTAGATTGGGCGACAACTACAATACTGGCGTTGGCGACTTACCATTCTCTGTTCGAAGGCAGCATAATTTTGATTGCTCGGCCGCTTCGACACATCGGTGGTGTGTCGGGAGATCTGAGCAAGGCGGTCTCCCAGACAGAGCTGGAGAAATCCACAACGGCTACCCGCGGACTCATACAGAAAGGGCGTTCGCCCATGGAACGCTCAGCGGGATGCCGATCGCGGCACCGCAGCCGTACGGGTCTACGAAACGGTGGTCCAGCGGACTCGCACACATCCAGCTGTGCTGCATGGCGGCGTTGGCTACAGTCAAAAACCCTAATAAGGACGCACGACTTTGCTCAGGGTACCCTTGCGTCCTTGCTCTTCCTTGCTCTTGCGTCCTTGAGGTTTTCGTCGTCCGCCGCCCCAAAAATCCCAACTTCGGCTTCCAAGGGTCTTGCGTCCTTACCGCGCGTCCTTATTATTTTGACCGTATGGCAGTGGAGATGGAAACCGGCACCAGAAACGCACAAAGCCAGATGTTTTGCGCCGCACGCTGCGCGCGCCCAGGCCCCGATATCAACAGCCATAGGAGCAAGCCCCCCCAGAGGTCCGTCTCAAGACAGCGCCGGCCTCGAGCCGAGGGCGGGTGAATCAGCCACGCGCAGAGGGGGGTAGGGGGAGGGGGGAGGGCTTCTTAGAAGCACCCCTGCTTCTTAGAAGGCGCCGTCTGAGAAGCCTTCTAAGAAGCAGCCTCCTTCTAAGAAGCAGCCTCCTTCTAAGAAGCCCTCCCTCCACCCCCCTGTGCGCGCCGCCAAGTTGAGTCCGACGGCTCACCCAGCACGAGGAAATGTTTTGGACGACTGCAAATCTACGAGCGGGTACGGACCCCACGCAAGTGGCAATGGAGAGTGGCCGGGAACATCGGCAGTTCGGAAACACGAGTTGACACGACAAGGCTTGCGACGGCCCCCCATCCACATCCCGTTGGGCGTGCGCGGCAACGACATGATCACCCGAAGAACTGGTGGCCTGATGGCATTCGACAAGTTGCAAGACCATATTTGACCTTTATAGGATGCTGGTTTCTGGAACCATCTTATGTCGATAGGACTGCGCCCGATATCGCGCTGCACCTCTGAATCTGCAGAGCGGGGGAGGGCAGGAGGAGATGACGCGAGAGAGACCCCAAAAACCCCTTGGTGGAAATCGTCACGGGTGTGAGGCCAATGACGATCACCACAGGTGAGGCCTGTGGAAGTCCGCATCGGAGGTGAGAATGGCCGATCCTTCTTGATGCCAACGGTGCTCTCGGACGGAATCCCTCGGAGGTGTCCTTGTGCCGGAAGTCCTGATCTCTTACATCCGGAGCCAGGGCCTTGGCTCGGAATTCTGCCCACGCTCTCGGGGCAGCTCCAGTTTGAAGGGGCAGCGCGAGTACCTCGAGTCAGGCGGAGCGTTGGGCGCCGATCCCCTTGCGCGGGCCTCGTGCAAGATGGAACGGGCCGAGCCTTCGTCTGCAGCGAGCGGCAGAAGAGGGGAGTAAGGAGCGGGAGGGGGACGAAGACGAGGACAAGGAGGAGGAGGAGGAGGAGGAGGAGGAGGAGGAGGGACGGAGGGAGGGAACGGAGGAGGAGGAGGAGGAACAGAGGCACGATAAGGAGGATAACGGGGGTCATTATAAGGGTGAGGATACCGGGGTCATTATGAGGGTGAGGACGGGGGAGTGTAGAGGAGGAGAAGGAGGAGGAAGAAGAGGAGGAAGAGGAGGAAGAGGAGGAGCAGGAGGAGGAGGAGGAGGAGAAGTAATACGTCTGGAGAGGACGGGGGAAGGAAGTGGTTGAGGAGGAGGTGGAGGAGGAGAAGGAGGAGGAGGCGCAATGGGGAGATGGTGAGCGGATAAGTGTACTACACCTTTCTGTTCTTCGCTTCTCCATCGCCTCACCCCCACCACCACCTGGATCACCCTAAAGCCCTTCAGATACCACCTTAACACCCTCTCGCTACCCCCTATCCCTCACTCCTCCTGTTCATCCATCCTCCCTCTTCTCCTCTGTCCTCCTTCCCTCCCTCCTCCTCCTCATCCCTCCCTCTAGGCGGATGTGGAGTGGCAGGAAGGAGGAGAAGGAGGAGGCGGAGAAGGAGGAGCAGCACCGCCGCAGCTGCCGCCCTCTGGAGGACCGAGCACGCGGGATATACGAGCAGATTGTGGAGGGCGTGAGCTACTGCCACGACAGGCCGCGGTAATGTTTGTGGCCCTCGTCGTCCGAGGAGGAGGAGGAGGAGGAGGAGGAGGAAGAAGAAGAGGAGGAGGAGGAGGAGGAAGAGGAAGAGGAAGAAGAGGAAGGGTGAGAGCACAGCGATTCGAACAGCGCGTGTCCGGGCGCGGGGCTACAAGCGCCATTGCGCCCACCTCATGTGGCGGGAGGGGCCGCTGTTTATATCCGATATTTGGAGAGTCCCCCCCTCCAGCGCGGTTTGCTCGGAAATACGACTGGAAAGCAGAGCAGGGCACGGTGATTCTGCAGTGGCATTCCCGATCTGCACGCCCACGGTGGAGGAGGAAGGGTGAGAGGGGGGTAGGAAAACGGATGACGAGGGAGGAGGAGGGACGAGGGAGAAGGAGGGAGGACAGAGAGATTGAGGCAGGGAGGAAGAGCACGAGGAAGAGGAAGTGTGGAATACGGGGGCGCCTGGAGGAGAAGGAGAAGGAATGATGAGGGAGAGAGCGAAGGGGGCAGGGGGGAAGGGAGGAGCAGGGAGGGTGCAGGGAGGACGAGAGAAGCCACTTTGCACGTGGGCACGCCTGTTGGAGGGCAGATAGAATCGCGAGGCGTCAGCACAACATACACCCACTGGAAGCCTCTGGAGACCCTTGGATGTGTCCTGGGCGACCACCACTAAATTAAACTCCTTGCGGCCACCAAAAGCTCTGGGGATGGACTGGGCGTCCCCTGCGGCCCAGCGCTGCCGTAGGCCTCAGATGGCCAGCCCAGGATGGCCTCAGGGGTGGCGAGAGACCACCAGCATACAGTGGAGGCCCATGCCAAGAAACACCCTGCTTGCCTCCAGGGTGCCCTGGGCTTCTTGGGTTCGGATGGCTTTGCTGTGGGAAGCGCGGCGCTCCCGCACCGAACATCGAAGGACGTCCTGGGATCTCAGGGTCGAGTTTCTTGTGGAAGGCTTCGTGTGGTCGGGCCCCCACTGCATCCTCACGAGATGGCCCCCGGTAGCCCAGGAGGGCCTTGGCGCACGGTGGCCCAGGCTGGGCCTCTTGGGTGTTGAGCTTGCGGCCCGGCGGCCGGAGCTCCACGGTGCCAGCGACCTCCTATGAGCCGTATGAGTTGGTGGCGCTCGGGTCGCGTTGACGCCGCCATGCCCCCCTCCCCGCCAGAAGGGGGGGAGGAGGAGGAGGAGGAGGAGGAGGAGGAGGAGGAGGAGGAGGAGGAGGAGGAGGAGGGGGAGAAGGATTTCCAGGATTTCCGCCATCACGAGAGTGACTAAAGCTGAGCTCAGACTTTGGGAAGCTCGCCACGAGAAATTCTATCAAGATACTCGCGGCGCGTCCTCGATACGGGTAAAACGCATGGCTTTGCTAGACCTCTGATCTGGTCTTGACCGTAAAAGCCATATGTGCGACAGAAGCACAATCGAAGCACTTCATGAAAGTACAAAGCGTGCGAGGGGTGGGCCCAACCTCCAACGATGTGTAAACGTCGTCCTCGAGGGAATCGAAGCACCTTACCGTCGACAGCCTCTAGAGGCACACAATCGCTTTTTGGCCATACCCGCAGCTCTGCAATCGAACTCGAAGACCTACAAACGCGACAGGAACGCTCATCCTCGTCGCAAAGCGTGCAAAAACAAGAGGGGCAGGAGGAGGAGGAGGAGGAGGAGGAGGAGGACGAGGAGGAGGGGGCGGGGGAGAAGGGGCACTGGCCTGGCGGGCCTGGCCCGTCTTGGCGAGGCCCTCGGCCTGCAGCACCTCTAGGGCGGCCCGCAGGAGCCTGCGCCTCACCAGCACCGCCTTCCTCTCGATGTCGAGCACCCGCGTGCGCTCGGCGGGCGCCACGCGGGCGCGGCTGGCTGCTGCTCCTGCAAGCTCATCCACCGCCGTGTTGCCCTGCACGAGCCACGACGGGACCTGCCTCTCCAGCACCTCGGGCCCCTCCAGGTGCGACGGCACCTGCAGCACGATGATGCACTCGGGGGGCCGACCCTGCTGACGGAGCGAGTGGCCCATGGCCCGCCACAGGTCGGCGTGCTCGCCCCCAGGCTGCTTGGCCAGCCCTGCCCACCAGCCGCGGCTGACCTCGTCGCAGTCCGTGACGTAGACGACCCACCCTTCGGAGAGGCGGATGACCAGCTCGAGCGCCGCGATCTCGCCTCGCGGGCCCGTCTGGGACGGCCCAGGCAGCGGCCCCAGTACACGTGGTCCCAGCTGCAACGGGGAAAAGGGGATCAATGACCGTGACCGCGACGCGTCGCCGAATACAAGTCGTGGGGCATCCTCGGCGCCTCGCCCGAGACAACCCGCAACGATCTCACCATGCATGCAACCTGCCTGCCACTGCGCCACGGCCGTCGGCGGAGCCACTCTCGTCCACGCCGACGGAGGCCTCCGAGCCAGAAGCAGGGGAAAGCCTCGGACTCCGCGACCGCCATGGGCACGAGGTCGCTGGAATCCGAGAAGGCCTTGCTGCTGCTGCTGCTGCAACTGCAGAGCCATGTGCGATGCAGGGCCGACTCGACGTGCTGTCCGCACCTGTCGCACTGGCTGTTGTCGCGTAGGCCCGCCTCGAAACGTCGCTGCCTAGGCCAGGACCCGCCCACCGCGATGGCCACCATCAGCCCGGCGAGCTGGCGACCACGATGGATGTGCTGCAAATCCGCCAAAAAAATCCTCAGGCTGAGGAGGTCGGACCCCTCCTCGAGGCCCCCGCCGCAGTAGTGCTCCGCGGCCACGCGCCACTGCCTGCTCGCAAGTGAATCCACAAACTCCGAGATGAGTGGGGCGGCCTGGTCCATCGCACAGAAACCGGCGCCACTGAAATTCCAGCCGTGCCTATCTTGAGAGATGTCACTCGTCGTATCCCACTCAGTCGCCGAAATCGGGTTCCACCCAGCATGCAACAGATAAGCGGTGACCGCTGAAACAGGCCCGCGGACGTGACGGGCTCGATCAACCTCAGCCATGCTGCTGAGCAGCTCGGCGATTCGCGGCCAAACACGAATGACCCCCGCCCTGATCCGTGGTTCTGAAAACCATGCTTGGAACCACTGCTCCAGGCACTGCATGGGTAAAACCAACCCTGGGTCGCCGCCTGGCAGGCGCAGGGCTAACAGAGTCGTCTTGCAGCGCCCTCGGCACAGGGAGCCCGCTGCGGCCGCCAGGCGGCGCCGCTGGATCACCACGCCGCCGCCGTGCACCCCATGTACCTGATGCCCGTAGGCGGCGGCTGCACGCGGGCCCGCCCGCCGGAACTTCGCCGCGGAGGCGAAGCGCCGAGACGCACGGGGCCCTCTTGGGCAGTCTCCGGGCCTTGGGGGCCTCGTAGGTCGTCTTGGGCCAGTCTGGGGAGCCTCTAGCGCCGCTTCGGGCTTGCAGACGCCCGAAAAGTCGAGAACCCCAAAACCATCCAAACACCTGCGTAAAATCAAAGAGTGGTGCCTCTTGAGGCCCTTGTCGAGCCCTTTTTCGGCGTCTTGGGCCGTCTTGAGGCAAGGCATGTTGAGGCCATCTTGAGTGTTTTTGAGGCCATCTGGATGTGTTGGTGCCCCTCTTGCGCCGCGTTGGAAACCATCTTGGGCATCTTGGAGGCGACGGGAGCTGCATCGGGAGGCTCTGGAGGCCCCGGGGGTGCTTGGCGAGCTCGTGCCCCCATCCCCTTCCCCCCCCACCACCAGCTCCCAGCACTCTCACGGGATTTTGGACCCCAGGGGAGGGGGGACAGGGGGAGGGGGCGACAGCCCATCCTCTCGCACGCCCTTCTCACCCTCGGCAAGCGGGGGCTCGGCGGAGTGCATGCCTCAGGAGTGTGACCTTCTGCCGTCTTCGTCGTCGTAGTCCTCCTCCTCCTCCTCCTCCTCCTCCTCCTCCTCCTCCTCCTCCTCCTCCTCCTCCTCCTCCTCCTCCTCCTCCTCCTCCTTCCTCCTCTCCTCCCTCCTCCTCCCCCTCCTCCTCCTCCTCCTCCATCCTCCTCCTCCTCCTCCTCCTCCTCCTCCCTCCTCCTCCTTCCTCCTCCTCCCCGCCTCCTCCTCCTCCTCCTCCTCTCTCCTCCTCCTCCTCCTCCTCCTCCTCCTCCTCCTCCTCCTCCTCCTCTCATCCTCATCCTCATCTCATCCTCATCCTCATCCTCTCATCCTCATCTCATCCTCATCCTCATCCTCATCCTCCTCCTCCTCCTCCCTCCTCCTCCTCCTCCTCACTCTCCTCCTCCTCCTCCCTCCTCCTCCTCCTCCTCCTCCTCCTCCTCCTCCTCCTCCTCCTCTCCTCCTCCTCCTCCTCCTCCTCCTCCTCCTCCTCCTCCTCCTCCTCCTCCTCCTCCTCCTCCTCCTCCTCTCCTCCTCCTCCTCCTCCTCCTCCTACCTCCTCCTCCTCCTCCTCCTCCTCTCCTCCTCCTCCTCCCTCCTCCTCCTGCCCCCCCCCCCGCTGCCCTCCCCGCCTTCCACGCTGCCGCCCTCGACATCCGCCGCCCCGTCGTCGGCATCATCCTTTTCCTCCTTGCCCTTCCCCCTGCGAGCCCAGAGGACGACATCGGCGCCTCCCGTTCTTGTCCGATCAGGCCGTATGCCTCAGGCGTGTGACCGTCTGCCGCGGGTGTGCCAGGCACGCCGGTGCCGGGCGGGCTGAGCTGCTCAGCCGTGGCCCGGGGGGTGGGGGGGGCGCACCCTCGTGTGATGGCCGGCCGTCTCGGGCGTCTGAGGGAAGGCAGGCCCCCCAGCACGCAGGCAGTGGCGAAGCGTCCTGGCTCGCCTATAGGCCCACCAGACAGTGTTCGAAGATCCTTCTGTGGTCTGCACGATATGTTCGTGGAACATTGCTGGCTGAGGCTGTCGTGCTTTAGCACATCTGAGACTATCGTGCTTTAGCACGTCGGGCGTATGTTCTAAGAACCTTGTTTGTTCTCTGAGAACACGTTTGGGGTTCTGAGAGCATCTCGTGGTACGGCTGCAGGAATACCAGGACGGTCGGTCCCTGCTCAAACCACAGGAAAAGCCATTCTGAGTTTGACGTGTCGCAGTGCCGCGTCGCCCAGGGTTGGCCCAGGGGCAGGCGATGCGTCCTCGATCGGGCGGCAGTTGGTTCGCGGGCTTCTTGCTCGTCAAAGTGTCAAGTCCATGCCAGGTCCCTTCTCCACCCCGTTCTCCCCTCATCCCTCTTTCCTCTTCCCTCCGTCCTCCCTCCTCCCTCTCCCTTCCGCCTACTTCCAGAGGCTTGTGGTGCACCGCGACCTCAAGATGGAGAACGTCTTGCTCGACCGCCGCCGTAGGTCGGCGAAGATCATCGACTTCGGCTTCGCGGCGCAGGTCTTCGACGTCGCCGTCATCGTCGCCGCCGCCGTCATCGTCGCCGCTGCCGTCGTCACCGCCAGCGCCTTCGTCGTCACTGGCGCCGCCGTCGTGATCCTCGGTCGTCGACGTACCTATCGTCGTCGTAGTCGCTGTCCTCCTCTTCAGGAGGGGGCAGCAGGAATTGGGCGAAGGGAGGAGGAGGAGGAGGAGGACGACGACGACGAGGAGGAAGAGGAGGAGGAGGAGGGGAAGAAGAGGAGGAGGAGGAGGAGGGGAGAGGGAGGAGAACGAGCAGGAAATGAGGAGGAGGAGAGAAGGAAGAGAACGAGGAGGAAGGGGGGAGGCAGGAGGAGGAGGGACAAACTCCAGACCCCGGGCGCCCCGAGCGTCGCCGGGGACCCCGTGTCAGCTGCCACGCCCAGCACGGGCCGCCACTGGCTGCCGGCCGACGCACCAGAGGGCACGGCCACGCAACTTCGGGCATTCCTTACTTCTCCCAGACGGCTCTCGGCAGCACTCGCTCCACGGCTGCCGGGCCGCCCACCACCACAAGGGCCCAGCCGCAGGCTGCAGGCCCCGCCTCCATCCGGTGCGCTCCTGCGCCCGCTCGGGTGGCACTGTCGCGTCGGTCGTATAATCCGGTCGGGGCTGGGACGGGGATAAGTCCATTCCAGGGCGTTCCGGAAAGCTCTCAGAGCGTTCTGGGGCGAGAAGGCCGGGGCGCCCGCTACATCCTCCAGAGCCGCGGGGTCTCAGAGGTGTTCTCGACCTGTCCGCACCCGAATGCCTCCTCGTCTTGGCTTCGTCTTCGGGGGGGGGCGCGGGAGGTTCGAGGCTCTGGGTTCGGGAAGTGCTTTGCCCTTTTTCGGCCTCCCGAGGCTACTTGCGGGCCCCGTGGCTGCCAAGAACGCCTCTGGGGCCAAGAGGCGGACCCCGAGAGAGGTCTGGAGATCGATGTTCGGCGAAGCTGCCCTAGTCCCCCCTTCTCCTTCCTGGCTGCTGTTCTCGAGGCAACGCCTCTGGGGGGCCAAGAGATGGACCCCGAGAGAGCTCTGGAGATCCATTTTCAACGGAGCTGCCCTTACAGTCGGGGCCCTGAAGAAGGAACCCTTTTCGTTGGGCAGGGGCTCCGTGTTCCTTAAGTGTTTCGCAGCTTGCCTTGGATTTTCCTTAGGCTGTCGATACGAAATCGAAGTTTAACTTATGGAAACTAGGGGCCTCGTTCCTTATTTAGGGTTCCTTAGGTCAATGCCCCGACTGTACCCCCCCCCCCCCTCTTGGCTGATGTTCTCGAGGCCCCTCCAGTTCAGACGCCGCCCGCCTCCAACCTGGCTTCGCTGCGGGATGCAAAAAAGTATGGCCGGATGCAAACGTGAGAACATGCCCAAACGCAGGCCTGACACCAAATTTGAAAACGAAACAGAGAACACACCCGAGAACAAAACGGAGCAACAATAGTGAACACGTGCCTGACAGCAAGCCAGAACACAAGCCCAAAAGCAACACAGAAGTCAATCTAGAAAACGGGTCCCCAACACAATCCCCGAAACAAGACGTGAAACACGCTCAAACTAGTCTCAGTAACAAGCCCGAAAGTATAGCCGAAAACATGCCCGATAACAATACAGAATGCAGAAACCAAACCAAAAACCAGCCAGAACACATGCCCGAAAGCATTCCCGACACACAAATCAGAAAACAAATCATAAACGCATCCGAGATCATGCCGGGAAAACATCAGGTATTTAGCCCGAGCATAAACCCGAAAACAACCCGAGCTCGAACCCGAAACTACGCCCGAACACATTTCGGAGTACATGACAGGCAACAAGCCCGAATACACGATAGAAAACAGGCCAGAAAAAAAAATCACACAAACACATCCGAAAACAACCCCGAATACATGCTCGACCACAATCCAGAAACCTAGCCTTAACGCAGCACTGGACACTGACCCGAGCATAAACTTGAAAGCAAGCACGAACACAAGCCCGAATGTAGGCCTGATCACATGCTCGAAACAAACCCTGTTAGAATCCTGAAAACAAGCCAGGCAAGCAAAAGACAACTTGGAAAATTTGGCGAACCGACCAAACCATATACAGTTGCGAGCATCGCGATGCAAGAGATACGACGAAAGGGGACCACGAAACGTGTGGAAGGTGTGCCGAGATGCGCGGTGCGGACGCATGCGAACGCAACCATGAGAGCCTAAGGTGGAGCTCCCCATGGGGACGCGAAACATTTGAGGGGCGCCGAAATGTGCGGCGCGGCCGCATGCGAACGCAGTCACTGGGGCATTCGGTGGAGCTCCTTGTAGGGCCACGAATCGTGTAAGGGGGTGTGCGGAAATGCGCGACGCGGGCGCATGCGAATGTCGCCATTGGGGCCTTAGCTGGAGCTCCTTGTGAGGCCACGAATCGTGTGAGCGGTGTGTGGAAATGCGCAACGCGGACGCATGCGAATGTCGCCATTGGGCCATTGGGGCTTTAGGTGGAGCTCCTTGTGGACCAAGGAACGTGTGAGGGGTGTGCCTGAATATTCTGCGAGAACGCATGCGAACGTCGCCACTGGGGTCTTCGGTGAAGCCCGCTAGGGGGCCACAAAACGTGCCAGCGGTGCGCCGAAATGTGCGGCGCGGACGCATGCGAACGCGGCCATGAGGGCCTTAGGTAGAACTCCCCGCGAAACGTTTGTGGGGCTGCACGTGCACCCACCCCCCTCACGGAGAAAGGGGGGAGGTGAGGGTCGCTCTTTTCCTCGAGCAACAAAGGGCTGCAGGATTTCCTGGATCCTCCAGGACAGTCTGATTATATTCTCTATAATCACATATATATGTAAAACTACAAACTTCCCAGCACCTCTCCTTGGGCGCTGGAAGCGGCTCGGCCTCCAGTCGAGAAACGTGAGCCACAGGGAAACCACTTTGTGCTCCCTGAGCAGGCTTCGCAACGGCGCTGCCCGCCTAAGCCCATCGCGGGGCTACCCGCAGAGGGCAGGCGCGGGGCAAACCGCAGCCTGTAAAAGAAAGCTCACCTTCGGCTGTCGTAGTGCTTCCTGCGACCATTCTCCTAGCCCTCTCCGTGGATCACCTGAGAGCCTCTGGAACGGTCTCCGCACTCGCTCTTGAACGTCTCGATCCACTTCTGCGCGGCCTCTGGACTGCTGATGTCCTGCAAGCTGAGCTTGGTAAGAGGTCCTCGCGCTGTAGCCATCACTCGCAGCTGCTCGATCTCCTTGGCCTGGCGATCCGACAGAACGCATCCGTGCTTGATCATCCTCGTGACCAGGTCCTCCTTGATCCCTGACACGGCCAGGCTCTTGGCCTTCAAGACAGCTCGCAGCTCAGCTACAAGAAACGTGCTTAAGAGCTTGTGCCTTGCTCCTTTGTCCTGCTGTACACACACGGTCTTGAACTCGGCCTCAGCCCGCGCAGATGGTATACACGTGCTTCCAGAGGCGGGGTCAACCGCACCCTGGAGGAGGAACTTGTCGTAGAAGTCCTTGAAGTAACAACCACACCAGCACCCCAGTAAGAAAGCACTGGCTGCAGTCACCACAACTAGTCCCAACTTCAGGAAGAACCAGAACTCCTCGCTGTCCACGTAGTGGCTGACAGGCGCGGGGCAAACCGCAACCTCGTCAGAACCTCCGTACACTGTCACCTTCTCGCCTGACGCCTTCGTCACGACCTCCGTGAAAACTGCCATTGCGCTCAAGCCCTTCAACTGCTTTCCGAACCTGAGGTTGAGAGTGGTGCAATGCTTCTCGATTGTCGGCCACTCGCTGTACTTCGTGAGCATGTCGGCTGTCATCTTGCTGGTGTCCTCCTTGTGCAGCTCGAACGCCTTGAGACGCAACCGCTCCTGAATCCACAAGTACCTCAACTCCAGGTGCCTGACCTTGCCCACCCCAACTCGACTGCACATGCCACGTCCAGCTGTGCTGTCACTATAGATCTTCAGGTTGCAGGGCCTCTGGGTCTCGATCAGGTACGTCTTACACTGAAGTCCTCTGGCTGTCGCACTTCCCGTAGCGTACATCTCGGATTCCCCTGAACTTAGGGCTATCGTACTCTGCGTCACTGAGTAGCAGTCCCAAGTGTGATCACCATACCTCACAGCTCCTCCACTGGTAGATCGCCGCTGTAGTTCACTCGTAGGTGCCCAATCTGCGTCACCATCTACACGAATGCCTTCAGGAGTACCTTGAAGTGGGTAACACCAGACCAACACAGGCTGTCCTTCGTAGTACCTTCCAAGTCGCTGAACACGCGCATGCATCAAGACGTTCGGGTTGGAGACGTGCTGCATCGCTGTCTTGCTGGCGTACATCGTGTCGGGCCTGTCCGAAGAAAGGTAAAGAGCGGTGCCAGCTGCACCCGCCACTTCTCGAGCACGATCCTTGGAAAGAAGGTCTAGGCTGTCTCGTCGGCCTTGTCCTGTAGCTTTCGTCCCTGGAGTGGGAGCTGGTTTACAACCTCGCTTCTGCGTCCACTTGATCATGAAGTCCACATGCTTAGGATCGGCAGTCCAGAAGAAACCTGGCTCCTCGCAACCTGGCAACTTGTCGGTGTAGCCGATCGTCCTCTTGAGGTATGTAGTCTGCCCCACCGCTCCTGGTCCAAGTCTGGCGCTGGCCGTGACCTCAAACTGCTGCTTCAACAACTCGTCCAGCTCGTCCAGCTGCTCGTCGTAGCCCTCAGCAAGAAAGTCATCGCCATGACAGATCGCTGTGCTATCCTCGTCGAAGGGGGCTGTGTTGGGGCTAGCAGGTAAGTAGAACACGTTAGGAGTTCCAACCAAGCATTCCCAATGGCCGTCGTCCATAGTAGTTCTCACAAGCTCACCCCACATCTGCGACGCCTTCCTGGTACCGTTCATGGCCTTGCGTAACCACCAGCACCTTCCAGGCGGACACAGCTCTCTCCCAGGATGCACGTAGATCGTCTCGTCTAAGTCAGCGTTGAAGAAAGCCTTCCTGACGTCCCAGACTTGTATCTTCCGCAGGTGCTGCCCGCTGGAAGTTGGACTTGAAGCGGCACGGCTCAGCGTCGCTCTGACGATCATGAGCGGGGGCGTGCCTTGGTGGTTGTCCTCCCTGACCTCGTACTTGTTCACCTCGGTTGCTACGAACCTCCACCTGACCTTTCCTTCTTTCATGTGGGCTATCGGGAACCCTCCAATGTGCTTGCCGTCGGTCGCCGTCGATGTCGCCACTTCCACGTAGACCCCATAGTCCTTCATGGCCTGCAGCTCGTCGTCGCGACCCTTCTGATACAGGTCCTCATCCAGAGGCTCTCCAGTGTAGTAATCGTAGTGTATCGTCTTTGGGCTCCACTGGTCTTTCTCATGCAGCTCGGCGCTCACCTCAACCATCTGCTCCACCTGCTGCTCCTCAGGATCTCCGAAGTGGCTCCTGATTGTGCCGATGTGGCTCATCAAACATCTCCTGCATGCACACTCAGCTTGGTGGCATTCTCGTAGCTGGCATCGTGATGAGTGCTTCTCACACCTCTCGGAACATCTCGCACTGCGCTTTGGGTGTGGATCCCACATGGGGTCGAAGCTCTCGTCGTAGCCCTCCTCGCAGACTGCCAACTCACAGACAGAGAGATGCCCAATGCTTGCTACCCTGGGCTTCTTGACCTCAGCTCCTTCACGAACTTCACCTGGGGCGCTTCGCCGAAAGTCGCTCCTGAGCTCTCCACTCTCCGTGTCCATGGCTGTCTGCACCTCAGCCTCTCCTGGGCCAGGAACCATAGCTACGTCACTGGCAGCAGGTGCGGGGCTCACCGCAACCTCACTGCTGCTTGATGCCGCTGCTCCTCCGGGTGCGGCTCCAGGCGCGGGGCTTCCCGCAGCCGGCGCTGGCACCACGACTGTAGCCTCAGGGGCCACAGGGTCCTTCGCCAACTTCTCGCGCAGCAAGTCGGCCTGAATGGTCTCGAAACGCTGTCGGCAGGCTGCCGAATGCGAACCGTATCCTGTACTGCACTTCCTGCAATCGTCGGTAGGACCATGAGCATCGATCATGCGCTCCGTGATGTACATGCTGCGTCCGATCGTTCCTGAACTCTTGTCGGGCGTCTGCTTCCAGGGCGTCACCCTGATGTGCTGGATGAGCTCGGGCTGCCACCTGAACTCCTCAGGCATCCTTCGCACCGTTCTCACCTTCTGCACTCCACGTTCAGGATCGATCACGAGATGTGTGTCGTCCAGCTCGCTCTTACCAACCCATATTCCTTTTGCGAAGCGGGCTTCCCATTTGCCACGTCCCGCGGCAACTCGGGCTGAGATCCGATACCAGACCTGCTCACCCATCTCCGCAATCTCGCCGTTGTACTCTTTGCCGTAGAGCATCTTGTAGGAGGAACCTCCGTGACTGCGAGGCTGGAATCTGGTGATCATCCACCCCACTGAGTTCACAAGCCATGGCACGATCGGATCCGTCATCTTGATCTCGCTGCCCAGCTTGTGCTCCAGCTTCAGCTTGTAGGCTCGAAGTAGACCAGCAGCTAGCTTGTTACCTCCTTCAGCGTAGCCTGCACTCTGCTTGGAAAAGGGCGGTGATCCCCGCACCAAGGTTGAGTGTGATCTGCGATCTCGAACTGCCTGCGCCAGAGCCATGGTGGCAGGCTCCTGGTCTGTCTGAAGTATGACTGTTGTGTGACCCCAAGCTTCCAGCACGCCTAGCAGGAAGGACACCTTGTAGTCATCCGTCTCCTTGTTCGCGTACAACGTCGCCTGAGCCAAGATCTTACAGTCGATAACATTCAAGACAGAGACCGCTTGGTCTAACTCGGCCTTCGTGACCGACGTCTTCTCCCTGATGCTGAAGTAACCTCCTTTAAGCTTGTACTTCGCAGCCAGCTGGTCCGTCCCTACGTAAAAGATGTCGAACACCACCTTCGGGATCTTGTTCTCATCAGCTGGTTCCTGAGCGTGGTGGGGGTCATCGTCTGCTCGAGCCTGCACGCAGATGGGACACCAAGGTCGAAAAGGTAGATGATGCCCTTCGTGCGCGGCTCTCTCCGCAGCACTAGGTTGGTGAGGAGTCTTCAACACTCTCGTTGGCACAGTTGTGGTCTCATCAGCTTCGGGACCTAGAACCTTCGGCAAAGCTCCAGCTTCCTGTTCAGCTGGTACCTTCCTTGGTAGTGTCTTTCGTACCGCAGCTACCTTTGAAGCTTCTGGTTGAGTCTGGCCGTCGATGATGTGATCGTACTCTAAGTAGTAGTTGCCTTGGTGACGACGTAGAGGTACGAACTCAGCTCCATCAGGTGGCTCGATGGTACCGTTGATGATCCAGTGACCTGCAGGGCTATGAAGAACACTCTGACCACGTTGTACTACAGCGTCTGTAGCCACAACTGGGTACTCCACATCGGCAACCTCAGCACCGACTTGAATAACCTCTCCTCCTCGGGATAGGTTCAGCTCCACGTGGCCGTACCTCTCGATCTCCTCGCCTCCTATGCCCTTCAAGCCGACAACGTTGCTGTCCGTCGGCGTGTAGTTGTGCTTGGTCACCTGTGACCTCGGTATCGCACTGATCTGCGCACCTGAATCGAGCATGATCGCATTCCGAAGCGGGGCTAACCGCAATCGGTCATCCGCAGGGCTCTGATCTTCATCCACGGGCCGAAGACCAGCGATGGTAACAGGCCTGGGTCCGGCCAGCGCGGGGCTCACCGCAGCTGGCATATCGCAGCACTGACGGTCGTCAGCGACGAATCTAGCCTTTCTTGCGCTTCTTTGGCTTCTTGTCGTCGTCTGTCTCTTCCCCGTCCTTGAGGCCGTCCAGGCAGTACTCGGCACACACGGCACAGTAGTCCAGCTTCCACTGATCGTAGTGCCATCGCCGTCCTTCAAAGGTCTTCTTGCAAGAGCAGCACACATATTGGTAGTAGCTAGGCAAGCAGTACTTCCAGTCGATCGTGTGGCTGCGCTTCTTGTGACCTCTGCCCTCAGGGCAAGAATCATCTTCGCTCGCAGCGCACAGTTGACTGGGCGCAGCACCTGCTGAGTCATCGCGCTGTCGGCGCTTCCCTGACTTCCTAGCATCTGTTGTGTCGGTGCTGTCGAGCTTGATCCTGTGCCCACTCCTGTCTGTCGTAACCTTTCGAGCTCCCTGACTGCCGCTGCCCCGATCTTCTTCTTTTCTTTTGCCTTTTCTTTTCGGAACTGCTTCTTGTCCTTCTTGTCCTTCTCGGGTGTCTTCTTCTCGTCGGCGATCCGCTTTCGGCAGTTTGCGCTGCGGTGACCCTTCTTGTGGCAGTAGTGGCACTCGATCTCGGCGTCGGGATTCGGTGGCTTCTCCTTGCCTTTTCCGTCTTTCCCTTTGCCGCGGCCTTTCCACGGTCTCTTTCCGCCCTTCAGCGCTCCGATCTCCATCGGGTCGTCCTGAACCGCTCGCTCTGCCGCCAACGCCGACACCACCTCGGCTCTCAGAAGCTCGTACGTACTTAACCGACTGCTGTTCCGAAACACGTGCTTCTGGAGCTCGTCGTGATCCTTCAGCGCCTTTGTGAGGATGCCGCGCTTGATCAGGTCCGAGACGGGCTCTCCTGCCATCTTCTGGTACCTCGCCATGTCCTCGTCCAGCTTGCTGATGCTCACCATCACGTCTTCCTTGGTGTCGAACTTCGTGTCCGTGAGCTTGGTCCACATCGCCAGCACGTTGCCTGCCTCGCTCGGGTTGTACTCCTTCTGAAGCTTCCTCCAACACTCGGCTCCTTCTCCTACTGGGCTGTTCCTCACGATCAGCTCGCCCACCGAGTCCTCGGGCATGGCCAGGACCAGGCCGTAGTACAACTGCGTGCTGAGTTCTTCCTCCTGCGGGTCCAGGTTGACGTTGTCCACCTCCTGGGCTCCGTCCTCGCACCTTTCCAGAAGATCTCGGTACCTCCGATCCTGGGCGATCAGGTACGCTCTGTACTGGAAGCTGAACGTCTTCCAGCTTGACCTTTGGCCGTCGAACGGCTTCACCTTGTGAAGGATCTTCGGATCCATCATCTCGCCGCGCGGGGCTACCCGCTGCTGCTGAGCCTGCTGCTGAGCCTGCTGCTGACCCTGCAGTTGTCCTCTCATCTCTGCGATCTGCACGTCCCTGTTCTGAAGCTCCTGCCTCATGTTCTGACTCTCTGTCGTCAGCCTCTGAACTTGATCGACCAGTTGCTGCAGCTGCTGCTCCATCTTGGGTGTCGAGCACGTCAGTGACACGCTTCTCCAGCCTCTCGATGTCGCTCGCCAGCTGCCTCTTCACCGCTGCTCGCTCCTCCTGAGTAAGCTTCGCCTTGCTGCCGCACGCCGCAAGCTTCCTAAAAGCGGTCCCTCGTAGCTGGCGGTGCTCACGCGTGTCCGCCGCTCTGCCTCCTCGCTTGTTCGGCTTCTTGGCCTTCAGCGTGGCCTTGCCCTTGCCCTTGTTGGCTGGCTGGCCACCGCTGTCAGAGCGCGGGTCTGACCGCAGCTCTGACCAGCAAGGGGTCCTCTGCTCGGCGGCCGCGTGGATCGTCCCGCTGGCTGCCGGACCCGCGGCGTCGCGCCGCTGGGCCCTCTCGAGGGGCTCTTGGAGCTCGCCTGGGTGCGGAGCGGCCCGCGAACCTCAAGCGAGCTCCGCTACCATGCACGTGCACCCACCCCCCTCACGGAGAAAGGGGGGAGGTGAGGGTCGCTCTTTTCCTCGAGCAACAAAGGGCTGCAGGATTTCCTGGATCCTCCAGGACAGTCTGATTATATTCTCTATAATCACATATATATGTAAAACTACAAACTTCCCAGCAGGGGCGCTCCGAAATATAGGGCGCGGACGCATGCGAATGCAGTCACTGGGGCATTCGGTGGAGCTCCTGGTCCTTGTGGGGCCACGAATCGTGTGAGGGGCTGTGCGGAAATGCGCGACGCGGGCGCATGCGAATGTCGCCATTGGGGCTTTCGGTGGAGCTCCTGTGAGGCCAAGGAACGTGTGAGGGGTGTGCCTAAATATACGGCGAGAACGCATGCGAACGTCGCCACTGGGGTCTCGGTGAAGCCCGCTATGGGGCCACAAAACATGCCAGCGGTGCGCCGACGTGCGGCGCGGACGCATGCGAGCGCAGCCATGAGGGCCTCAGGTGGAACTCCCCATGGGGGCGCGAAATGGTTGAGGGGTGCGCGGGAAATGTAGGGCGTGAACGCATGCGAACGCAGCTACTGCACCTTAGGTGGAGCTCCTGGTGGGGCGACGGGCCACGAAGCGTGCGAGGGGCGTGCCCGGATGCGCGACGCGGACGCATGCGAACGTTGCCACTGGAGCTCTCGGTAGAGTTTCTTGTGGGTTCGCGGAACGTGTGAGGGGCGTGCGGAAATGAGCGGCGCGGACGCATGTGAACCCAGGTCAGTGAACCCAGCTAGTGGAGCTTTAGGTGGAGCGCCCCGTGGGGCCACGAAGCGTGAGAGAGGTGTGCCAACACATGCGGCGCGGGCGCATGCCAACGCGGCCGCCGGAGCCTTAGTTGGGCTCCTTATGGGGCCAGGAAGCGTGTAAGTGGTTTGCCGGCACGTGCGGCGAAGACGCATGCGAACGCAGCTATTGGGGCTTTCGGTGAAGCTCTTTGTGGCGCCACGAAACGCGTGAGTGATGTGCCGAAATGTATTGCGCGGACGAAAACGAACGCAGCCAATGTGGCCTTAGGTGAAGTTCCTTGTGGGTCCACGAAACGTGTGGGGGTGTGCGGAAATGTGCGGCGCGGACGCATGCGAACGTCGCCATTGGGGCCTTCGGTGGATCCCCTTGTGGGGCCATGAAACGTGTGAGTGGTGTGCCGAAATGTGCGGCGAGGACGCATGCGAACGTCGCCACTGGGGCCTTAGGCGGGGCTCCCTATGGGGCCACGAAACTTGTAAGGAATGTGTCGAAGTCTGCGGCGCGAGCGCATGCGAACGTCGCCACTGGGGCCTTGGGTGGAGCTCCTTGTGGGGCCACGAAACGTGTGAGGTGTGTGCGAAATGCGCGACGCGGACGCATGCGAACGCGGCCATGGGGGCGGCTGGTGGAGCTCCTTATGGGGCCACGAAACGTGTCAGGAGTGCGCTGGAATGTGTGACGCGGCCGCGTGCGAACGCAGCCGCTGGAGCCTTAGGCGGAGCTCCCTGTGGGGCCACGACACGTGTAAGAGGTGTGCCGAAAGAGAGACATGCGGGAGGATGGGGGGCGGGGAGGGCAGTGGGAGGGAAGAAGACGCGGGGCGCTGTCTCTTCAAAACGCGAACCCAACACCACAGGATGGTTGGGAACAACAAGTGCACTCATTGCGAAAACAAGCCCGAATCCAGCAGCGAAAATTCTTCCAATAACGAGCCAGAAAGTAAGCCCGACGACGCACCCGAAAACACTCCATGAGCACATCCCGAACCCGTAGCTGAGATGTTGCCCGACAACAAGTTCGAACACCTATCCGAAACCATAGTTGGAGTTGATTCTGGCGAGGGACCCAACGATATGAAGTTGTGAGTACCGCGTTGTGCGTGCCGCGTTCAGTGGAGCTCCTTCCGGGGCCATGGAACGTGTGAGGGGTATCTTTGAATCGGCGTGGAGACGCATGCGGCCGCGGCCATTGTGGTCTTCTGTGGAGCTCCCTATGGGGCCACGAAACGCTGTACTGGGCGGGGCGGGCATGCGGCCGCGACCATTGGGGCCTTCGATTGAGCTCTCGAGGTGTGCACGAAGCGTTGTACTGGGTGGGGCAGGCGCGTGCGGCCGCGGTCACTGGGGACTTCGGTGGAGCTCCCCAGGGGGCCACGAAACGTTGTAATGGGTGGGGGAGACGCATGCGGCCGCGGCCACTGTAGCGTTCAGTGGAGCTCCCTGTGAGGCCACGAAGCGCTGTACTGGGTGGCGACGCATGCGGCCGCGGCAATTGGAGCTTTCGGTGCAACTCTCTATGGGGCCACGAAGCGCTCTATTGCGTGACGCGGACGCATGCGGCCGCGGCCCCTGGAGCTTTGGGTAGAGCTCCCAGCTTCTTATTGGGCCACAAGACGCTGCACTGGCTGGCGCTGACGCATGCGGCCGCGGCCACAGGGGCCTTCGGTTGAGCTCCTTGTCGGGCCACAAGACGCGGCACTGGGTGGCGCTGACGCATGCGGCCGCCTCCACTGAGGCCTTCGGTGGAGTTTCTTATGGGGCCACGATGCGCTGCACTGGGTGGCGCGGGCGCGTGCGGCCGCCTCCCATGAGGCCTTCGATGGAACTCCTTCATGGGTCCACGAAACGTTGAGTGGGGTGGCGCAGACGCATGCGGCCGCGGCCCCTGGGGCCTCCGGTGGAGCCCCTTATGGGGTTACGAACCTTTGTACTGGGCCTTCGGTGGAGCTTCTCATGGGCTCACGAAACATAGCACCGGGTGGCGCGGGCACATGGGGCCGCGGCTACTGGGGCCATCTATGGAGTTCCCTGTGTTTTTATATATATATAATATATATATATATATATATATATATACATACATACATATATATATACATATATATATATATATACATAACACAAAAAATACAGAAAACAAAAATAACTTGTACTGGGTGTCGCGGACGCATGCGGCCATTGGGGCCGTCGGTGGGGTCCCCTTGTAGGGCCGCGATCGGTGGTATGGTGTGAGGCAGACGCATGCTGACGCGGTCGCTTGGACATTCGCTGCAGCGCATTAGGCGGCCACTAAAAGCTATACTGAGTTGGAGTGGCGCATGCGGCCACGGCCATTGAGACCATTGCGACCACGGCCACTGGGGCCTTCGGTGGAGCTCCCTATGTGGCCACGAGACGCTGGATTGGGTGGCGCCCGTGAGTGCGGCCGCGACCACAGGGGCCTTTCTGGTGGAGTTACCAATGGGGCCACGAAGCGCTGTACAGGGTGGCGCGGACGCACGCGGCCGCGGCCACTGGGGCCTTCGGTGGTGCTCCTTATGAGGCCACGAAGCGCGTGAGAGATGTGACGAAACAGGGGGCATGCGAAGGGCAGAGAAAGGCATGAGAGGAGGGTGGAGGGGGAGGAGGAAGGAGTCAGGAGTGAGCCACGCGGGGCGCCGTCTCTCCGAGACGAGTACCAAACACCACAGGATGGTTGGGACAACACTTCCACGCCAACCTGACGGCTGGCTCGCTGCGAACGCCAGCTGCTGGCAGGGACGTTGTTTGAACACATACGTACGCACTGGTGGTAGTTTACGTCGGTCACGGTCCCACGGTGGCCCTGTGTCAAAACATCCTACTCCAAGTTCGACAGGCTCCAGAGTACGTTACTCGCCTCCATGATGCAGATCAAGTGGAAGAGTGGTGAGCCCAACGATGTTTGCACATAGAGGCGGCATCTTCTCGGGGGGAGTTTGGCTACGGCATGTAACAGATGGAGCGCGGCCTGGGCCGCGTCTGTCATGCCCTGGGACACGCACAAGTGGCGCTCTCACGATCCCGGTGCGTGGTCTCACGTACTTGTTGTTTTGCGAGCCGACTCGTGGCTGATGCAGTACCAGATTTGGCACTATTCCCACGGTGAGTATCGCACGAGAACTCGTGTCTTCCATGGACGGGGACAACAACAATGGAGAGTGTCCACGTAGACTTGGCACAGTCCGACACGGAGTAGAGTGAAGCAGTTTGTGGGCGTTTGTTTTAGGTGGCGCAGTGCCCAGATGTTCACTTGCTAATTGGTTGTTCTAGCTCCAAATATGTGTACTCATAGACATGCAAACACATACATACATACATACATACATACATACATACATACATATGTATATACAGTTATACCGATTGCCATAATCCTGATCAGCATCTGCGTCACCATCAGCACCATGATCGTCACACTCCTCATCATCATCAACAACAACATCATCATCGACATCACTGCCACCATATCACCACCACCATCATCATCAGCAGCATCATCACCATCGTCATCATCAGCATCATCATGACCATCAGCATGAATATCATCATCATCACCACCATCATCACCATCACCATCATCACCATCATCATCATCAACAACAACATCATCAGCATCACTTCGGCGTGTCGCGGTGGAAGACTTGGATCCTTCTCCGCACCCGTTCGCCAGGTGGCCTCCCGCGCCGCGAAGCTGCGGACGTTCTGCGGCACCCCGTCGTACATGGCGCCGGAGCGCGTGCAGCTTCTGGGCCACTCCTCCTCCTCCTCCTCATCATCATCATCATCCCTCCCCCTCTCCTCCTCCTCCTCCTCCTCCTCCTCCTCCTCCTCCTCCTCCTCCTCCTCCTCCTCCTCCTCCTCCTCCTCCTCCTCCTCCTCCTCCTCCTCCTCCTCCTCCTCCTCCTCCTCCTCCTCCTCCTCCTCCTCCTCCTCCTCCTCCTCCTCCTCCTCCCTCCTTCTCATCCCTTCTCCTCATCCTCCGCCCGCGCGCACGGGAGGGTCCCTCGCATCCCGCCGGGTCGGCGCCGCGCCGTGGGGAGGGGGGCAGAGCCGCGGCACGCGCAGATCATGCGCGCGACGCCGTGGCGGCCGATCCGGGCACGGACAGGGGCGCACAACACACGCCCAGGCACACGGCGCCATGGCGAGCCGTCGAATGAGTCAGGTTGCCGCTGCTGCGCCCCGATGTCCAGAGGAGGAAAGAGTGCCCATACCTCTACCCTTCCCCGTTTTCCCCTCGTTGGGCCTCCTGGAGCAGTACGCTGGCACAGGAGACAGCAGTACGCGGGCACAGGAGACAGGACAGGGAGGGGGCAGGAGAGGAGGGAGAGGGCAGGAAGTTCAGTGGCGCTACCGCGCGAGTCCGCCACCGCGCTCGGGCGGCCGCTCGGGGGGGGCGGGGGGGAAGGCCTCTCGTGGGGGCCTTTAGGAGGCCTTTGAGGGGCCTCTCGGGGTTCTCTTGGGGGGCCCCGCTGGACCGTCTCAGAGCGCCCTTGGCCTATTCGACACCTCAGGAGGCCGTCTCAGGGGTCTTTGGGCCGGGGCGCTTTAAGCGCCGCCAC